TGATATTTGATGGATAGCCCAGTTGACCCATGACAAAAAACATGTGTTTCTTGTGTTTAACATACATTCTGAATAAGACAACAGTGGTTGCACTGAAGTGTCAAAACACACTGTGAAAAGTGTTTGCTGCCATCTTTCGTCAAGGCCTAACTTAATGTGGTGAATTTCTGTCTTATCAGAATGGTGCTATAAGTTAAATTAGTTACACTCAAAAATATAACAATGCAATTACATTAAATATTTCTCATTTGAGGCTAAACATCACTGTGTATCATTCTATTTCAAATCCATAAAAAAAAAAACAGAACATGCCCTATATATAACCAACCAGACATTTTCAAGATGAGCTAGAGAAGAGTCAATTCTTTCTACTCATGTTGAACAATAATGGAAAAATAAAGTGAAAGCTTTGACAAAGAAGTTATTAAATGAGCAATGTGCAGAAAGTTGGGCAGTGAAGAATTATTGATGCTGAAGAAATTAAACTTAAATTTAGATAAAACCATGAGACTGATATATCTGAAAGTATATTATGGAAATTGTAAGAGGTGCAGAGACTTATGCATTTATGATAAACAACTGCAGAAATACCTTTAAGTTCTATCATACTTATAATTCACTTCGTTATTGTAAAATTTAATTTGTTACCTAACTAAAATCACACAAAGAAAATATCTGTTTCCATACAACTGGACAGTTTAAATATTATTGAAATATAAAACATTAACATCGGGAGGAAAATAGGAGGCCATGCAAAAAAATCATGTTCCAGGATAAGTAATGACAAGTAATTACTAAAAAAATTTATCAAAAATACAAAAGTTTTAATGGAAGTATCACTTAGTAGGCACACATATGATGGACATAATTTACCTTTGATTCAGAGTGAATACAACACACAGTATAAACCGAGAAGCTGACAGAAGGGAAGGAAAAGTTGCACACAGATATAATTGAACATTTCACAGAAAGATGTGACAGTCACAACCCAAGATTTAAATCCCATTATTAAGATTTTATATGTTTATTAAGTTTGTTATGCGCTATCTAAATTTATTTTTTCTAGGGGGGTTATAACATTATGTTGTGGTTTACAGCTAGGCTTCAGTTCTGTACTTTCCAGCCCAACACCTAATTTCCCCAAACACGTAATTAATAGCCTTTTAGATATACCTGATAAAGGGCAGTTGGTCTGTTATTTGGAACCCCATTGTAAAGAATGGTGGTCTTTTTGCTGGTCACAAATGTGTTGATCAGTATCTTTATGACAGCTTGGATGGATAGATCGATCTTCTTCTGTCAATGTTTCACACCAAGTTATCTCATTGTTCACATTTCTCTTCCTCTTTTTTCAAATTCATCTGCATTGTTATAAAGTACACATATGCTCATATAAGGTAAATATACCATTGTTAATAAAGCATTTAAATATCTTTAACCGATCATTTTATTTCCTCTGACAGAACCTAAAGTCCCTGCTTATGCTACAGAGACTGTAACATCTCGCCTGCACAGCAGACAGGATATTACCAATGTTTTGTCAACAGGTCCACTGACAGATGTAGACATGACATTGACATCCTTGTCAGATGAGGAGACAAAGAATGACTCTAAAAAATGCGACAGTAAGAAAGAAAAACAGGTCAGTAATCAAAAATATTACTATTTGAAACTGGTTGCTTCATTTGTTTTAACTTGGTTAAACTTGTTGCCAGTTTTTATCTTTAAGCTTTTTCATCAGATTACTTTATGGTTTATTTTTAAATTTTCTTTCCTGTTGAATGCCTGAAGGATTGACACCCGATGAAATAGAGAGCAATTATTCAGATAAGAGACAAACAGGAGCTAATCCTAAAAAACCCTGTTCAGCTAAATAGAACAGTTATATTAGGGCACTCATGGTCTTCATAAACGTTTTTCTGTTTTTGTAAGTGGTCAGTAATTAAAAATTACGGTAACAAGCTGTTGAAAAACACCGTAACTTTTGAGAGTAAATCATTATTGTGTTCTATAATTTTTACATGTTTTCATGTCTGTCGTGAGGTGAGCAGCCACCCTACACAATGGACGAGTCGGGACTCTGAAATCCCTCGCGCTCAGTCGAATTTAAAACTTGAACCCGTCCGGAAAGGTATATAGTCCCTTATATTGATCTATACCTTTATCTGGTAAAATAATAATTTCTAGACCTTCTAGTTGCTTTGATAAATCTTCATTTTCAAACTTGCAACTGTAGGTTGGCTAATTCTGGTATTTTATTTAGAAATTCCTGTAAACCGGTTTACTCCTTAGGCAGGAATACAAGGAACTTCTTTCCTAGAGACGCTGGTTTGATATTGAAAAAAAACATTCTTTAGCCTGATCCCAAAGTGTCAAGACGTGTACACAGTCTATGTAGAAAGTGGCGCATTCAAAATTCCATTTCTATCTTGGAAGATTTCCTAAGCTTGGGTAAGTTGATTATAGTTTACGAGTACCATAAATGATGTCTTTTTAAAGTTGGCCACTGCTGCAGAGAGGGCAGAGTCAGCTGTGTGATCGCACAGAGTTCGACCGTTCTTGATGTCCAGAGATCAGGATCCGAACCTTAGACCTTCCCCTGTACAGACTAATTAGTTGGTGCTCTACTTAACCCACACCATTTGTAAAGATATTAAACCCTACCAGTTATTATTCTCTGACCAGTCAAACAAAGTTTTGTGTAGCATAACTGAAACAGGGAATTTAGGTCATCTTTAACCGGCAGTCAGGGCTAGGCGCTCTGAGTCAAAGGTGTGTTTGACACAGATTCAGTGGGTGTGTAGTGAACAGCCTGTGGAGACGGAATATATATATATATAGGTACTAACTGTAAACATTGTATGTCTGTGAGTGCAGATGTGAGGGTGGAGAGAGGATGATCTATGTGTGGTAGTGTCTATCTATCTCTACTATATACCTTGTTTTCTATCTGTTGCACAGTGTTACAGACAGCTAAATGAAAGGAGACATTGTCTCCTGTTCTTGAGAGTTACACTCTGAGGAATGGAGAAGGATAGCAGAGGTGGGTTGAGCTGATGTGTGATTAAGGGTGATTACTAATTCTGAGTTCTTTCCTGACAGGATGATACCTCCTTAGAGATCAGGCAGACGAATCACAGTCCAGCCAACAACCACCAACCATACCCTTCTGTGCACCAAGCATAACCAAAAGTCCTGCCCATTGTGCCACTACAGGACGAGTGGACAATTGCAGACATCTGTGTCATCAATCCAGAGAACCAGTCTTCAAGAGCTTTGTTGGGCTCATGCAGTTTTTGTGTCCTGACCTGTGAGATAGACTTGTTGGGTTCCTATGCAGTTCCTGTGCCCTCGATGGTGAGGTAATCAACTTGTACCAGATCAACTCGAGGCATAGGTACCTGAGTCAACTACAGTCGAGTCACCATGGACTGAGGGGAGCATTGACCTACGAACTAGGCTAAGTGATCACTTATTCATTATCATGCTCTCTTCCCACAGCACTTTGAGATTCCTATAAATAAACAGAGGGGGGAACCATTTGAGGCCGTTAAATATTATGAATTAATCAAGTAACAGAAAGTATTGTGAACGGCACTCATAGAAAGAAGAAGAAAGATAGAAGAATACACTATACAACATAAAAATCGAAAGCTATAGTTACCGTGCCGGGAATTGAACCTGTCACCTCCAGACGGCGTCTGCGCCTCGCCATGATTATAAATGTACTAAGATACATGGTCAACTAGGCACCCCCAAAAAAAGGTGTCTTATTGGCCATGTCTACTTGAGATTCCTAGGATGAATTCATGTACTCCTCAAGACTACATCTGGCTGCTTCAAGATCTGGGTTGTGTCATTGATTCCTGAGCTACACTCAATGAACTCTTGTTGATCTATTCACTATTATATGTATATACTGTACCGATTACATGCACAAATTTTCATGGCTGACTTGGGTGTCCCTATTTCACCATTCTAACTGTCTAGCTCTGATGATTGTGTGAGCAATAAGTGTTATATGTGTTAACATGGTTATGATAGTAGACTATCATAACCTGGGGGCTATCTTTTTATAGTAGTGGGGGTGTCCAGCCAAGTGTGCCTAGGAATATTATATATTCTGTAGTGCCAAAACTTGAGGTGCCCTACTCCTGAAATAAGTTGAGCGTATATTGGCCACGGGGCATCCCTTAGACCAATACGAGCTAACAACTCAAAAAAATTATTTCAGAGTGCTGTTGGTTCTTAAGGAGAAATCCTTAAATCAGGTATGCGACAGGAGCGATATGTGACAATGTCTAATATAAAGAATATAAATGCTATCATTTCTTGAGCTTTTGTGTACAGCAATCTTGAAGAAATCCAATTCTGATTTGCAAAATGACTTGCCGAATGAGATTATGAGAGACTTCAAAAGACAAAGCAAGAGCGAGAGAAAAACAAAAATAAACATACAGGAAAAGAGCAAAGTGGGGAACCTACTGTTTAAATTTGTTTCTTTGTGACTAGAATTGCATAATTTCCTGATGGTCCCTTGATGATTGCTGTTATTTTCAACACAACAAAGGACAGCTTCCTTAAACATATGGTGCGAAATGCAGCATGCTCAATAATATTTTATATTGCAGTGCTAAAATTAAACAACTCTTCTCCCATGATTGAGGCGCCAGGCATATAGTGGTAGGTGCATGCTTTTATATACCAGTCAGTCATGGTGCAGTCAATAACATATTGGCTGCCATACATTTTCTGGTATCAATTTTAGGCTGGGTTGATCTGGGAGGTCAGTTGTAAAAAACAATATTGATCTGGATGCAAGCCTATAACCTCCCTGCTGGCAAGCGTCTTCCCACTGCACAGCTACAACTTGCAGTGTTCAGATATTTATTCTCATAAAATGTTTGTATATTGCTGTTTAGGATCAGTTTCCAAAGAAGAACAGATGGAAAGAATTCTTACCTGAAGATCAAAGAGAAGCTGACAGAAAGTATTTAGAAATGCTTCAGGCAAAGGCCAACTTTATGCGCAACCCACGGCACATCCCTGGTCCGCTTGCAGCTAAAGGCAGGTCACTTATCAAGGCAATGGATAAAAAGATTAAAGTAAATAAAACCAGGTAAGATTGACAGATGTCACTTTGTTATATCATGTTTAACCCTGGGTGACAACCCTGGGAAGTCCACACACAAAAGAAAAAAAAAATAGGGGGGTAGGGGTGGGGGTGGGGGCTGAACCCATATACTTTTCCTCTCCAACATTTCTACTATCACAGTGAACGTGGGCAGTTAGTTCTCATCTTGAGTCAGTTTCTTCCAAGATATCTCATTACTCTTTTTTGATCTTTTCAGGGTGTTCTCACTATTTGTCTATAAAACCGCACCCTACTGCTTCCACATAATTGTTCCCTAATCAACCATCTGTCCATGATTCACTTCCATGTGTCAGGTTATGATTTATGGAGCTCTTGTGAATTCTTTTTCTCACCTCAGTGGACAAGAAATATGTCACAGAAAAATTCTTCAGTTTGTGAAATGCTGCCTTTGCTTGAGCTTTTCTGCATTGAACTTCTTTAATACTTCTTCTGTCTATTGTCTACTTCTTCTGTCTATTTTCTATCTCCTAGAATTCCAGAGAAATTTGACTAAAAAGCTCAACAAAATGGGGAAGCAGAAAAACGTGCACAAAACAACACAAATAACATAATGTTTCTGACCGGCAGCATTTGTCAAACTACACAAAAATAACGAGGAGAGGAGAGTATACAGATCTCTAAGGGGTGGCGTGAGCAACGTTTTACACAAAATGTGATGTGGAATAAATGAAATAAAATAAAATAAACGGTATCTAAAAAATATAGTTGCAAAAAATAAAAAGTAATATTTTTAATATATAATTTAATAGTGGAAATAAAAGAAATACAAATGTTAATGATACATAAATGATACTGATAAGAGATAGAATAAAGTAATAATATGAAATTAAAGAGAAGAAAATAATTTAAATTTAAAATGTGAAAAGAGTAAAACTGTTTAGATGAAGGTATGTTGGATATTGATACCACCTGGACTAGGAACGCCAAGGCTGTGGATGAGGCGATTTTCCAAAGCGAGGTGCATAGTATGATCGCCAGAGCAAGATTTTAATGCTGTGACAGATACATCATCTTTACCTCTGTGGTCAGAGCTGTTAAAATGGAGAGGGATTGGTTTAAGTGTCTTCTTGTCAATATCAGAGAAGTGTTCCCGGAAACGATCAGCTAGCTTCCTGCCAGTTTCCCCAATGTATGTCTTGGTGCATCGTTTGCAGATTATTGCATAAATTACGTTGCCGGATTCGCAAGTAAAAGGTTCCCTAATTTGGAAAGAACCATTAGGGAAACTGACCGAAGAAGTCTGGACAACGAAAGGACATATGTCTTGCATATGCTGGAGGAGCATCCAGTAGTCCCGAAAGGAAGTTGACTCCCACCGATCCACCCTCAGTTATATTGATGAAGAATACCCACAAGAACAATGGGTCAGAGTCTATACAGATGAGACCGCAGAAAGTGCAGTTAGAAATGGTGGTGCTGGAGTGTACATAGAATTCCCAGATGGTACTAGGGATAAGTCCAGCGTGCCAATCGGAAAGTACTGCCATAACTATGATGCAGAAACTCAGGCTATCAGGATAGCAACAGAGAAACTGCTAAATACCAATCTTGGCTCCCAGTATGTAGTAATGCTGACAGATGCAAAATCAGTACTTGAAGCACTCCAGTCTAGGAAACTACCAGAATTGCAAACACTGCTGACACAACTTAGCCTTCAGCAAAGAGTTGTAATGCAGTGGATACCATCACATTGTGGAGTGCCTGGAAATGAGAAAGCTGATCAACTGGCAGGAGAAGGTGTGACAAAAGTGCAGCCGTATGTACCAGTCACATACCACCAAAAGAAAAGAATCATTAAATCAATCAGGAAACCACCAGCCCTAGCACAAGACGACTATTTTATTTTGGACAGATCAGAACAAGTCATTATTCTCCGCCTCAGAGCAGGGCATAACCGATTACGTAACCACATGAACACAAAATTCAAGATAGGCGTATCAGCCATGTGCACCTGTGGAAAGGTGCCCCAGACAGCAGAGCATGTACTCCAGGACTGCACCAAATTTGACACATTAAGGCAAACCTTTTGGCCAGAAAGAACAACAGTGGAACGTAAACTCTATGGACCACTGAATGAATTAACAACAACAGTGAAATTTATACAAGAGACAAAATTGCTGATATAGACAACTTATTTCAGGCGAACGAAAGAAGAAGAAGAAGAACAGCTCTGACCACAGAGGTAAAGATGATGTATCTGTCACAGCATTAAAATCTTGCTCTGGCGATCATACTATGCACCTCGCTTTGGAAAATCGCCTCATCCACAGCCTTGGCGTTCCTAGTCCAGGTGGTATCAATATCCAACATACCTTCATCTAAACAGTTTTACTCTTTTCACATTTTAAATTTTAATTATTTTCTTCTCTTTAATTTCATATTATTACTTTATTCTATCTCTTATCAGTATCATTTATGTATCATTAACATCTGTATTTCTTTTATTCCCACTATTAAATTGTCTATTAAAAACATTACTTTTTATTTTTTGCAACTATATTTTTTTAGCCATCGTTTATTTTATTTTATTTCATTTATTCCACATCAAATTTAAAAAAAAAAATGTTGCTTACGCCACCCCTTAGAGATCTGTATACTCTCCTCATCTCGTTATTTTTGTATAGCTTGACAAAGGCTGCCTGTCAGAAACGTTACGTTATTTGTGTTGTTTTGTGCACGTTTTTCTGCTTCCCCATTTTGTTGAGCTTTTCAGTCAAATTTTTCTGGAATTCTTTGTATTAGCTTGACTGCAAGTCAATCCCATATTTTCACCATTTCTGTCTCCTACTGTGAGGGTACTCAAGTATATTAATGTATCAGTTTGCTAGAGGATTGTCCGATTTACTCTGATGTTGTATTTTGAAGTGTCCATTTTCTTTGTAATTACCATTGGCTTACAGTTTGCAAAGATCAGTGGAGAGGCAGACTATATTCTGGAAGGCCCTCCATAAGCCAGAATGATAAGGTCATTACCCAAGTATGGATTCTCATCATGCACATCATTATCTCATCATCTGAGAACTTAATGAATGAACTGGGAATAAGTATGGGTGTGACACATTCTATTTTGATGGAGTGTTTGGTCATCTAAAGAGTGTCCTAAGAATATATGCCCAAATTATTAACTGGAGTAAAAGCATTTCTGTCTAGGTCTAGAAATTGCTCGACTATATAAAGAGCCACACAGACTTTCTGAACACCATGATCACTGGTTCAGTTGACTGAATGGAATGTGCCCCTCAGGATGCTACCTGAAGGTTTAACACCCTGAGATAAAAGAATCTCAATCTTGATGGCACTCTCACTGGGCAATCCCAGATACTCTGCTCAGGCTTGACAAAAGTTATAATGATGGCATTGGTAGTAGCTACACCAGCCCAGTGTAACTTGTAGTCCTGTGCTTGTAATGATTATCACTTGTATTTTTTACAGAACGTTGCTCTCTTTACGGCACTTCTGAAAGTATCCCTTTTCCTAGCCAGCTCTCTGGCCCCATGTGCTTTTCAATGCCAATGCATCCTCAATGTCTTGTATCCATCTTCGCGATGGTCGACCCCTGCCTCGCCTTCCACAGACTGCACCTTCCATCACCGTCTTTTCCAAACCACCATGCCCATTTATGTGGCCAAAATACTTCAACTTTCAGGACAGGATGCTATTTATGAGCCAGTTCCCCTTGATGTTCAACTCGTTCAGAATGTCGATATTTTTCCTCTTCCTGATCAATGGTATTCATTAACATGAGTGCAAAGTAAGCAAGACAGGTGCACAGCAATGTCAAGTCACATTGATCATTTTCTTTGACACCTGTGTGCAGCCACACACACTATAGACTGCTTTGCTACTACATATATACTATTTTTAAACATTTTGGTGTCTAGTTTTATCTGTAAATCTGATTGTTTGAAAATATACATTTTTCTTTATAAACTCATATTTCATTAAAATGCCTTTATTTTCTGCTAGCACCGAAGCTGACCTAATTGTGTTTGTGCCAGAGCCACCTGTTGTTGAGTTCAGGAATTATAAAGTTGGAGAAGTCTATGAGGTATATAAATTTTAACATCATGTAGGCCGTTCATTTGCAGAATCTCACTTACGCTACAGACTGCACAGAAAACTCTTGATCCTGCTCTTGCTTTCCCACCATTCTATGTTTTAATATTGGTTTGGCCATTATTTTCTGAGTTTGCTCCTGCACTTCTTCTAGAAACCCTTTTATCACTGTAAGTTCTGTGTCATTTAATGTGGCCAGTAATTCTGTAAAAATAATGTTAAAACAGTGGTAATCATCTATCTTTTTCTTATCATTGTCATCATCACCATCTTCATAATAGGTAATATTATCCAGAATAATGGATAATGATGCAACTTAAAATAGGGAGACAGTGGCATTGCATGGTCAAATCATTGTACTCATTCTACTAGTACAGGAAACTGAACCTGAGCTATTTACACTACATAACCACCAAGATTTGCTTTACAAATATAATGATTTGTCATTAGTGCATGTAAGGTTGATACCCTATTTCATTAATCATTATGATTTAAACACTTGTGAATTTTTTTGGGGCAACAGTTTAAAAGTTGTTGTTTAAATGAAATTACTTGGATTGCTGTTCAACAAGATGCATATGGTAAAGGCTGTCTGAGAGCATTACCTTGATCTAGAATGAATAATGCATAGTTTAGTAAACATAGCATCCAGCAGCCACTATATGTGCAGAAGAAAAGCAAGATTAAACATATAATCATACTAGAACTGGTGCTATTTGTAGTGGAGCTCTGTACTGGCTGCTGACAGTTAGGATGGAGCATTTATAGGAAAGCCTTGAGTGCAGTTATTAATTCTTATCTCATTTCATTTTACATTTTTGTATATAACTTATTTAGAATGTAATAACATGTTAACACTCACAGGTGTTTACAGGCAACTTTAGTGCACAACATGTTATCTTATATGGCACAGTCTCTCTCTTGCTGTCTGTTTAAAGTGCTGCCCAGTGCTCAGTTACCATAGCTTCAGTTTCACTAGTGGTGAATAATTATTAACAAATATATGTGCAAGGAATCAGTGTCAGAAAAGGAGCTATTAGTTTCTGTTTAAAAGAATGCAGCAAGCAATATGGGTGTTATGCTGCAAAGTTTCAGGGTTGCAAATATAAATTCATGCCACTATCAGCTGACTGGTAAAATTAAACTTCTTATAAATGTGGAAAAACTACACAATATATGATCTTTCAAAGTTGAATTTTTTTTTTTTTTTAAACTGGGTATTGTCAGTTTCTGAGGTCTTTTAACAGTAAATGAAATACAGAGGACTGCTATCAGCATTTCAAATTGAGCCATATATGTAATGAAACCTTTGGGGAAAAAAATAATAAAAAAACATTTAAAATCCTAAAATAGTTTGAAGAAAGATTAAATAAAAAGTCAATTAGAAAAATTTGAAAAAAACAACAACAAACAAACACATACACACAAATCAAAGCTTCTAATGTCAAAGTCCATATCATACTTTTTTTTAAATGAATGAATAAAGAACTGTCATCACTGCACTTGTGACACTCTCCAAGTGCTCCATCTTCTTCCTTAGTAGATAAGGAGTCCTCATTCTATAATGCCAGTTGCAACCTGCTGATTAAACTTCTACCTGTGTTTTCCCTCGGTGTTGAATATCGTCCAGAACCTCTGCTCACCCACAACCTAATTAGTTTTCTAAGGTGTGGATATCCTATCTGTTATGATGCACTGTCAGCATTATCATAAAGTAGCTCACCACCCAGATGAGCAGCAGCCAGTTTATTATCCTTTTTATTTCCCCACACATCAGAATTTCCTGGACAGAAAATCCATGATAGAATCGTACCCTGAGTTGTATCAGGTGATGTAAGCTAACATTGGGTAGAACGCCAGTTCCTATTTTGCAAAGCATGCTCTGTGAGTCCATTACAAATTACAAAAAGCCTGGCATCAGAAAGCTTCTGTTACTGCCTCTACCTCCATTATCATATTGTGACAACAGAAACATTATTTTTAACAATCTGAGTTTACATTTCAAAATGCAGATATTTGAAAGTAGAATAAAAATCAGAAGGTTTAAACAGCATAATTAATGATACAGTACAAAAACAGATGCAACAAATGATGGTCTTACAAGAAATAGGGAGACAAAATGGTCTGATACAGTGTGCATGGCAAAATGTATACACAGACTTATTGGGGACTCAGTATTGGGATTATATTTTAAGAGATAAGTCATCGCATGAAATGGTAATACAGTCAATGCGATGCCATGTGACTTAAGTTTCCGACATCTGTGGTACCCTTTTACTGAGCCTAGATCATTTTTTTAGATGTATTTTTTTTTTTAAATCTTCCAATGGAACGTAGGCACTTAATCAGATTATTTGATTAGCTAACCTCCCACAACCCAGTTCTACCCTTAGTTACCTCTTACGACATGACTGTTAAGGTGCAGTTTCACTGTTCTTTTGTTTCCCTACTGGCCCTGGAAACACATGGCACCTGAGATTGTGGGGATCAGTAGCAAATGAAATTTTATCCTTGCTGGGATTTGAACCCAGAATCATAGTGTTGGTAGTTGATGTATTCATTAACCAGAATTCAATTTTTAAAATTTATACTGGTAAAATCTGTGCACAGATAACACTGGAGCTCAAGAATGTGACTTCAGTGATGCAGCAGTGTCGCATGCTACCTCCTTCCAGTAATGTATTTTCTGTTGGATTAGGTAAACATACATTGTTCTTTCATCTTGTTTTATTAAATTCTCTGATTGTCTTTTCAAACTTAAATATTTGTCCATTGCTATTTTTGTAGTTTTATTGTCTGCATCAAGTTAAAGGTGACTGCAATCTTTAACTACCGTTTTCTAAATCTGGATTCACCACTCAGATAAGCAAAGGATTTTATTGTTTGAGGTTTAAAAAGAATAAAATTAATCACTGAATTGTACACTGTACTGCATCAGTATAGGCAAGTGGTCTTTATCCCTCTACCCACAACAGCATCATCTTGGTAGTCATTACAAATGATTAAAAAAATACTGTTATATTGTTCATATATTATTGTTCCTAACCATTTAACGTCTACTTATTTTGATTTAGCTGTTTTCTAAAGATCTGGAACAGTGCCAGTGCCATTTGGCCTGAAGTGTAAAAAAACAACAACAACAATCTGTATCCCTGTTCCAAAGAAAGGAAATTATAAAATATGCATCAGCTATTGTACCATTACAATAAAACGTCATGCTGGCAAAATCCTCTTACACATTATCATAAAGAGGATTGAAATGAGACTCCAATATGATCTACATGAATCACAAGCGGATTGCAGACATTTAAAACTCAGGGAATTAGGGATCAAATCTTTAATATGAGAATAAGCATTGAAAATATAAGTGCTTATAGTGCATGTGGTGCATTTAATTGAAAGTTTATATCATGAACAACAAGCAGCTATCAAAGCAGCTGGAGAAACATCAGATTGGTTCAAGGGGAAAAGGGGAGTGAGGCAGGAGTGCTTTGTCACCATAACTATTCAATATGTATGCATAATACATAATGATAAATGTCAAAAAATGAACAGATTTGTGACAATTATGATTCGTAACTTCATTATGCAGATGATACAGTTCTCCTTTCAAACAGTATAAAGGGAATAGAATATTTAATATTGTCTGAAAAAAAAAAAAAAAACACACAGTGAAGATAAAAACCTGTCTTGAATTTAAAGAGAACGAAAATAATGTCCACAGACAAAACTGCCAGTCACCCGAAAAAAAGTGAATGGTAAAGAAATTGAAAATGTCACAAGCTTTGAATATCTAGGCTCCACAGTAAACAGCAATGGAGAGTGCTCAATAGATAGATGACCATAGCAATACAACTAAAAAAAAGCATTAAAAGCCTATGGTTATATTTATATTTTAAGTATTAAAGTAAATATATAAATTCAGATGACAAAACAATAATGAGCAGTAATGCAAGATAGTCTTGTATTATTGCATGTGAGGATATTGAGAGATTAATTTATATACATATGGTCATCTTTAACACATACGAATTATACTGTATCTTCAATACATAAAATATAAACAATAATTAGTCATTCAAAGAGAAAGATGTTTTCGTCATTGAACCTTGTCCAGTGCAGCAGGCTACACTTAGGTAATACTTGATGTAACTATAAGGTTCCTGAATTTAACCTTTTTATACATTTGGATGGGGGTTTCTAATATTTTTTTCAGTTGGCTTTGCATCTAAATGTGACCTTTTCAGTCACTGTATGCTAAACCTCTGAGCAGCAGTCATGGAGGGAATATACTAAAAAAAAAGTCAACTTGATTTGGTTGCAAGCTAGTGATTCTAATTCTTTGAAATGTTATTTTCAACCCTCAGGTCAGTTCCCTGGGGATAGTGGACTTGTGGCACCTGGTATGAGCTGCACATATGGGATCAGGTTTACTCCTCATTCTCTAAGAAATTATCAGGACTACATCACTGTGCAGACACAGGCAGAGTACCCTACTGTCATCCCTCTGACAGCTCAACGACCACCTCCACAGTTAACATGTAAGAGATTTTCTACTCAGTTTACAATTATTTCTGGTACAGGTCAGTCAGCTTGCTTGCTTACTGTACCCCACCAGGACATCACACAAGTGACAATAACCAGGTGACACAAGGTGCCACCATGCGGATGAGGATCACCCGTGGAGAGGTCCAGGAAACCCCTTTCAGCCGTAATCGCCACAATCGTGGCCCAGCTATATTCAGAGAAAAAGTCAGGGTGGGGCTTCAAATAGCAAAAAATGGCTTCCTATAAGGGGGCGATAGAATAATAGGTCAGACACTCTGTAAACACATTTATAACAATTTAGTCCTTAAGGTTTGCTTGGAAGTTCTTTTTACAGATATTAACATAAGAAGAACAGTGATTTATCCTTGCCATGATGGATGCGGTGAGTCATGTTGGTTCAGTGGCTAGCATGCCTGCCTGCCAGTTCATTGATCATAGGGTTCACGCTGTACTGAGAACAAATTGATCAGAGCTGCCAGGTTAGTCTAGGCTAAAAATGGGAGCCAGGAGATATTCTGGGAAGTAAAGGTGAACTGTGACCTAATGACTACATCATCTAAAAAGTACCAGTTACTGCCATAAATAAGGGGCTAGCACCATATGCCCAGTAGGTTCCAAGGCAGTGAAACATCTCCATTATTTGTTTCAACCTATAACCCTTGGAGCCATAAAATAACTGCTAATATTTACCACTTTTACGATATAGGCATGGATAGGGAAAAGGGGGGGGGGGGGGGTGTCTTTGAGCTCGAGGATTAATTAATTAATTTTGTGACTCTGCTCTTTATTTAATGATGTAATTGGTCTTCACGGGAGGCAAATCTCCAAAAAACAATATTTCAGGAACAGACGGTCATAATATTTTGGGGCTAAGTGATGAGAAGAACTTGCTGCAACAACTGGAAAGATGGTATGAGAAATAAAGGAAGATAATGAATGAAGATTATTGACAGTCTTTTGTCATGTGGTAGAAGCATCTCAACACACAAAATAGGCTGTTGGAGAGAGGCTGACTTCAAGTGGCAAGGCACTTGATGATGATGGTGACTGGTTTCATTTCTAGTCTTCTTTTTTGCTCATTTAAAATTGTATCTCTTCTTGTTCTCTCCTGCTCTCATGCTGCTGCTTCTTCAGCATTCTTAACCTTGAGGTTCATTACCACAGATATCAGTTGACTTCATTCATCTTTATCATTGTCCCTCTCTTTCCGGTTGGTGTTTCTAAGCCTTTGTACATCCACTTGTATATTATCTCTATATTGTCTTTTTGAGTCTACGTTGTGGTCGCCTCCCATTAAATCCTTTTGTGTATAGTTTTTAACTAAACTATCAGCAAGTTTTAGTATAATTATTCTTTTCTGTAGATGTTTAGTTTCACTTGAATATATCTAAAGAAAGCAGCAGTTAATCTGAGCTTGTTGAAACCAGCCAACAAGATTAGCTTCACACTTTCAGTGTATGACATTTATCCTGACAAAATGATTGAGGTTCTGTTTTATTTTCAGTACCAAGTGAAATTGATATTGGGAGTTGCCTGGTTTGTGGATCTCAGGCCACACAGCTGCTTGTCAAGAATGTAGGAGGCCAAGGTCGATTCTGTCTCATGCCTCGAAGTAAATGGCCAACAGCAAGCATCAGGGTAATATTTATACAAAAATAACTTCATGTTAAACCAATTTAAACATGATCCAGTACAAAATGAATGAGCTTTCAATGCAGCGACAACATGGATCTCAAATTTTTGAACTAACCAAAGTTAAAAAAAAAATAATATCAAAGATCGATCTTTACATACTAAATACACATCAAGAAAGCAGCTGTAATTTGTGCTGTAAATATTTGTTTGTAAACTGAAAAGAGGACACAGTGCATATTCTTACTAGATAGTTAAACATCATCTCTCTTAGGTCTGGCATTGCCATATAGGAAATTATCCCTTCTCTTCATGTTCCTAATCTCAGACATCAATGTTCAGATGTTCATGACTGACTTGTTTTCTCTGATATTTCAGTATAGTTACATTTTGCTGATATTATTGTTGTTGCAGTTTGGAAAATATTCCACATACATTTGTCTCTATACTCTTGTGCTTCTCTTATCTGAAAGTTTCACATCCCAAGTTAATTTTGCTTAATTTCCAGCTGTTATGTTGATGTGTGCAATAAATTTAATTTACCTTGTCCTAATGAGTGATCTTGCAGTAACTTTCTGATGTCATTTCCTCACAGTTTGTTTTCTTGAAATGTCAATGTTATTCTAAAAAACAATACATTTATCTGCATGCAGTTTCTTCAAAATGTTTTACACAAGAACAGAAATATTTCTTCTTTCAGACAATCCAAAAAGGTCTAAAAATTAAGAATGTTGAGCTAATACTGAAAGATTAATAAATCTCAACGAAAAGAGAGACAGGCATAGTTACAAGCTAATGTTCTGACGAGTCTTTATCCATGAACAAGAAAACAACAGGAAAACCTAGCTAGAAAACTGAAATATTCAGATCCTGAATTACTGCAATCCATAGGTGATGAATCGGTGTGCAAAATTATGAGCACAATTTTAAACTTTACATATAAAATATAAATTCCTCTCTAGGAATGACCTACATCACAGTGACTCAGGGAGAATTATTTTGGATGCCATTCCAACTAGGGCTGTACCGAATAGTGATTTAAACTATTCGGCCGAATACGAATAGCTGGACCAACTATTCGGCCAAATACGAATACGAATACGAATAGTGAATCATCATCATCATGTGCTTTGCCGGCTGGCATGGGCGATTATGCCTCGCCACAATCTGCGATCTCCTGCAGCACGTATTAGTTCGTGTGCTGACACACCTCCATGAAAAACCTTCGTTCCATGTTGTCAGCATTAGGCCAGCTTTTTGTCTCACTGAAGGTATTTCCAGCTGTACTAAACAGGAAAATACGACAAATACAGAGAGTCAAAATGAAAACCCGCAAGGCGAAACATCAAAAACAAAAATAACGCTGACGAAGAAAACAATGCCGTCCTTAGTCGCCCAGCCCCCCGCAAGCTCACAAAACCAACGCCTGGCAGCCAACGCCAGAAGATCAAACAACAAAGACAATCAAGAAACCGAACGTCGGTCAAAACATTCAGCCGCTGCCATTTCCACGAGACGACGAAAGAACAGATACGACACCCATAAATGATGACGAACTCCCGTTACTTCAAAAAATCAACGAAGAAGACACTCCACTCAAAGAAATCAAGCCGACAACACTACTCGCAACACATGCAAGATGGAAATAAAGGGGCACTTGGTACGCTCATAGGTGGTGCACAAAGATAACGCTTCACAGTATAAACCAAGGTGGGAAGTCTTGATGTTTTTTTTTCCACCAGTCCAGAAACGGTTGTGAGGTAACCACTATTCGTATTCGGCCCGACCGCAACTATTTGGCCGAATACCGAATAGTTATTGGGTCCACTATTTGGCCCCGAAGCGAATACGAAGCGAATATTCGGTACAGCCCTAATTCCAACTGAATCAGGTCCCAGATGTTTAAATGAATGTGGCCTATAGTTTTTTCTTCTTATTTCTACCATGTGGTTCCCAAGAAATATGTTACTTTTGTCAAAGCTAGATTAAAATATTATTCAGTGCCTTCAGGCATATTTGGCATATAGGGTTAGACCTGTATTTTATAGACTCTGTTATTGCACTCTGTGTATCATGTGGTCAACATCATTCCAGCTGCTTCTACTTCCCAGGACTTTGCCTAGTACCCATTTCAGTCATTCATGATTAAAAAAAACAACAACCTCAACTGTATACCTCTTTCCATTATGATGTAAAGTATGGACACACAACTACGATGTTGTTACAGTTTATTGTTGTATAATAAATGAGTCATTCGGTCGTTCTCCTAGGTTCTCTCACTGGTCGTTTACAACTTGCTCTCGACTGACTCCTGTGACAGGCTTACAACTAGACAATAGCTGCAATTACCTTTCAGTCTGAATGTTCCATGAATGCGGGGATCTTGCATCTGGATCATAGTACCACAAATGTTCACAGTTGCTAAACATTGCAATTCAGAATCAATTCTATTCAGACATTTCTTGCGTTCCATGTCCTCATTCCCTCAGTTCACATTTGACGTTCACCTCAAATACTCCATTTAAGCAACCTGCCTCTCACACGGTCAAACAACAACTGACTCTGTCTCATCTCTCACCTTCAAATCTTCATTCCAATCCCACACATTTTCCTTGCAACTATCACGGGACATTCTGAAGACACATTTACGATGCATCCCTCATTTCCCTGGCCTTCTGACCTTACTTTCATCATCCTGAGAACTTCCTGGATTTCCTATCATTACATTCCCCCCCCCCCCCCCCCCCCCCCCCCCCCCCCCCCCCCCCCCCCCCCCCCCCCCCCCCCCCCCCCCCCCCCACCCATATTTATTAAAAAGTTTACTTTTTTTAACCATTTGGTTACACTTATTTGTTAGAGATCACGTTAATGTAATGATCTAGATATAACCCACTATTGCTTTTGGTTAAAGGTTATTGCTTACCCTTTCATAGGCTGATCATGAGTTCCACTTACAACATCCTCAGTTCTTGTACCCAGTTTGCACCATATAGCTTGATAAGGTCAACACCTCAAGGTACTTCTAATCTAATGTGGAAGACCATAAAGGCTTTACAAATTTCCCATCTCACCCCACAGTCTGCCTAAAGACAGAACAACCCTATAAGACACCCCTAATTTGGTGCAGAAGTCCATAACGGCTGTGGAACCGTAATGTAAACATGCAAAGAATGTAGGAGGTCAAGGTCGATTCTGTCTCATGCCTCAAAGTAAATGGCCAACAGCAAGCATCAGAGTAATATTTATACGAAAACAACTTCACTACATGTACTCACTAGGCCACTCCCACTGATGTCCAACTAAAATCCTCAAATTTTCTCTACCAAGGAGCTTTGACCCAATTACCATGGTTTTAGTGGTCTCATTCCTCTTAGTTTGACATTTTTCCTCTCTACCAAAGTATCAATAATTAGGTATGTAAAAAAAACTATTTTATAATCACTGTGACCAAAAAAAAAATGTTTACGTAATAATAATAATACACCTCATTTTTATTTACATTTTCTGCCACTATCTGTCACTATTGTCATTGACCTGTCCATCATGTTATTTATAAATAGATATGAACAGTGACATAAATTGCATACATCATATTCATTTATATATTCGAACTATTGAACATTTACCAGTTTGCTGAATTTAAATTGTCTAGTTTACTGTTTTCTGTTACATACTTTGTTTACAGTCTAGACTTTACATCTAGTAGGTGGTTGTCAATGCCTTGAATGTGGTCTATCTTGATTTAAAATAAAAAGTTGAATATGAACAAGTGAATCTAAAATACACTCCTTCAAGACTGCAATTTATTGGTGAATCTAGAAAATAACATTGTAAATTGATTTAAACTTTGAAGATTGGGTAACTAAATTTTTAACCCATAACATCAAGCAAGACACCAAAAGACAGAAAAAAATGAATGAGAACACTCTGAAGAAATGTGGAGGATTGCATAAATAGAAAAGATAAAGATGAAAGAAAGGAGTAATAAGAATGACAGTTGTAACAAAACCCAACATAGAACAAGGAAAAGTGAAATGAGTGAAAGTAGATTATCGGGGTAATCAATATACAAGCCTCTCTTTGCCTCTCAGTCCTACCTTGCCTTCATGCAGTGGTACCTATTCTTCCCAGTAATCCAGTGGAAGGTTGGGATTTTAACCCTCAGCATGAAACTGGATGGGACAACAGATGAGGTAAAGGCGAAATCTGGTTCTGTTGGCCAGCTACTGTGTTGAATCTTAGGGGCGACACTTGGAGCTATGCATTTCATGTTGAATGGTTATTGTCTAATAGTAATTAAAGTGACTGTATTTGTTGGCAACTTTGATGGCTGACATATGCATTTGATGCATGTGTGAGTTGTTGGTTTCTGCCATTACTTTTCACACGGGATAGCGAAGGTCATTTTATATGTTTTTCGCTGCCACGGAAAAGGATAAATTATGTTCATTTTTGTGATAAAATTGGAACCCCGATCGATAGTCTGATAGCCTTGTGTTTTAATCATTACCAAAATATGTTTTGACAACATTATTGAATTATATGCAGTCTGTGCTGCCAAATGTCACAAAGACCATGATTAGGCAGCCACCATTTGACATTTATCCAGCAACCTTTCAACTTGAGTCCGGCCAGTCTCTTGCCCTAGAGGTTATTTTCAGTCCCCAGTCGGAGAGAATCTATATCCAGGATTTGACCATTACTTGTGACAATTGCCAGATTTCTCACTTTAAACTGAAAGGTAACTTTTCGGTAAATAATGAGTTAATAATCATTCACATCCTTATTATCACCACCACCATCATCATAATTATTATTTATCTTATTAGATACTCTGTGCCTCCATCTTAAATCATTCAGCTTCATTTTCTTCTGGGTCTCGCTTCTGCTGACAATCTTTTTAGTCATTACACTGTTCGTCATTGCACCTCTATTTTCATTGTATGACCAAAGGACAATATTAAATTTGTATAGTTGGTAAAATTTTCTACTTTCAGTTGCCTCTTGTTAGTTCTTTGACAGTCCAAGGCATTCGTAATATTTAAGTTAAAAAAAACAACAACACCCACAGTGCTTCCCTGCTCTTGTTGATTTGTTCATTACTGTTCTGAGATTGTGAACAGATAACATCAACAAGTAGAGAACAGGAGTTGTCAGCATAAACACACTAAGAAGCCTCCTTAGGAGAAGATCTGAGCACTTATGCAGTGAAGATGATCTGAAAATGAGTAATAAGTATTGTAAAAGATGAAATTTTCACTTAAATTAGCAGAAGAGAAAAGTGACCTAGTACACAGCCAACTCAGATCACACAGATGACATAGGAAGGACAAGAGGAGAGAAAGGTGAAAAGTCTGGACATAAGCAGAAGAAGAAAAATAAATATAATTGTGACAGTAATTTTCACTCACATTGTATTTTGTTACCGTTGTATCAGTTATGTGCGAACTCTATATTATTTGTGATTAATTGTTAGTGTTATTAATAGTTCCAAAAGAATAATTAAATACAGAACAAGTTTCTGTGACCTAAGCTAACTAATTGGTTAATCTGTTTCTACCAGATAATACTGCAGTCACTATTCTATTAGTTGTTGCCCTATAGTTACGGTGAACATTCAGTATAACCCTTGTAGTTCATAATGGCTGCTTTTGTCCTTGTTTTATCAGGAGAAGGTGAAATTGCCAAAATTAGCCTTGTTGATGTTGAAATGGGTTTGAGTGAACCTCAGCCTGGGGAGTTTGTTGATGTCAGCACGAGAAATCTGGTGAAATTTGAGGATCTAAACCCATATACTTATACTGAGAGAGTAGCCATAATTAGCAATTGCACGTAAGTTCAGTGTGAACTTTCTTCTTTTTTTTCCTTCTTTTTTGATGTTTTTTTTTTAGAAACTGTTTCAGGTGTTTAAAGAGATATAAGTTTCTGGTTCTTGCTCTTCTGGCTGCCTGGACCATAGACACACTGTATTGTTGTAGAGTTTCTCTGACGTTGTTCTTGGTCTACCTTGTGCTTTACATTGCTATGCTTTTTTAGTGTGTTTTTGTAACACGTAGTATTAGATCAAAAGATATAAAACAGTTATAAGACCTGTTGTTTTATATGGTTCTGTAACTTAGAGGACAACTAAAAGAGATGAGGCCTTATAACAAATTTTTATCTTGATTTTACCCTTTTGAAACAGTTTTAGAATGCAGTCAATTTTGTGTTTCAGTTCAAAGGATTCAATTATTTACTTCATTTTTATCAATTGTTACTGTAGTATGCACCTGACGAGATACAGCAAAATTGGTCAGGCAATAAAACTAAGTAATCTATTGTTTGTGACTGCTTTGTTCAAATTTAATGTTAATGACCAAAAAGAAATGAAAGGAATAGTAATGAGCAAACAGCAAAAGTTTAGTAACTGCTCATAGACAGATGCATATGTATAATGCATAATGTACATATAGTTTGATGTTGATCCTTGTCAGTTACGGTAAAACAGGTAAATATAATCCATGTTTCAGGAAGGTATCATTGTTTTCCGGATCTCTCACTGACACATTCATTAATTAGGAACTTAACTTGTATTTGGAAAGCAACACATTTTCAAAGTTACACTAAAAAAATAATCACAAATTTTAAACACGACAAGAGGTTTGGTGACATATGTGCTGGACTTCTGCCTGTTTGGCTAAATTTCTTAGGTTTGAATTTGCACTGGGAGATCTGGACAAATAATTTACCTTTTCTGTCAGATCGACCCAGTCATAAATGGGTGCCAGGAAATATTTTGGGTAATAATGGCAACAGTGAGAAGTCAACCACAGAACCCACAGAGTGCCAAACAGATGATAAAAATATGAATCTAGCACCATGTGCCCCATGAACCAGTGATGTAAACATTATTCCTTTTTGTGTTTTTTTTTTAAAGACAATATGACTAATTCATGGGATTAAGAATCTTTGAGCTGGACGCAAGTTGCCTTGTTTCCATTTTCAACTCTTTGATTTGCTGTCTGTTTCAACATCCTAGCACATCAGTCCAACCCATTTGTGCAGATACCATATCAATATCTCCATGCTCAAATTCCAAGTAGGAGATGATTAGCATGTCTTCATTCTTTGCCCTTCATCCAGTGTCTGCTTGGTTGTTCTCATTTAGTACCTATTTTCAACAGGCAGTTCAGCTCTTCAGATGAGTTACAAAGTCAGCTGGAGGTAAAAGAACGAACAAGAATAAGTGCAGGCAGTTCAGCTTTTTAAATGAGTTACAAAGTCAGCAGGGAGTGGCTGTGGCATAGTAGCTAGATGCTCACGTGTGGATCAGAAGGTCGTGGGTTCGCTCCCTGGCAGAGCCAAACTGTTTTCAAAAATGACCTTGTCTACCAGGTTGACCCAGCCTTGAGTAGGTACCGGGTGACTCGGAGGTAAAGGCTGCCAGCAGGATGCTGACCACATCACCCATCTTGTGCTGATTGGTCTATAAAAATATAGGTCTAGCCCGTATGCCCTATACGCCTAAAGGGACCTTTACTTTTTTTTTTTTTTTTTAACAAAGTCAGCTAGAGGTAAAAGGACAAACAAGAATAAGTGTAGGCAGTTTAGCTTTTCAAATGAGTTGCAAAGTCAGCTGGAGATAAAAAAGACAAACAAGAATAAGTGCGCTCAAACACTTTGACGAGGCTGCTGCATAAACCACCCCATAATGGGTTCCAGGATGAGCACCCACTTGCAATGTGCCGTGTTCACTTGTCAAATTTGTGTTGTGACCTTTGGCTAGTTGTCTAGGAGATGATGTGTCTACTGGATGATATTACTCACATTCTAAGATGACATAGCCGTTACAAGTCGACACCGTCTCCAAGCAACACATTGTTCAGACGCCAACACGCTGACTCCTCACACATTCACCAACCAGAGTTCTGCGTCTTCAGTTCCACATCGCTGCATAGATGGATCTGGTCATTGCATCGAGTTTCACACACTGACTTGGCTGGACTTTACTTCGATGGATGTTGTCGTCTGGTCGTCCTCTTGCAGCAATCAGTTTCACATTCTCATTCACACTCGATCACTCTCACGTCCTCTAATTCTGACGTTCAACACATACTGTCTGATCAGACTGGGGTCTGAACTTTTACCCAGTGTTCATTCCATGTGGCAACACGTGGTCATTAGAATTATTAAGTTACTGCTGTCCTACTTGCTTGATACAAGAGCGTCAGACATTTTTTTCTCAGGATGTCTTCATAAATTTGATGTTTATCTTTAGTTTAAACAGGTGGAAATGAACAGGAGAAAGAAACTGGGAAGTTATTCCAATGTGAGCTCATCAAACAAGAATTTCAGAATGCTGAAATAGTAGCTTTAATTGATGAGTCATGACGCTTCAGTTCTGAACACTGTTCGTGAAGCAGTTTAAAAAATTTTTTTTTTTTTACATTAAGCAGAGGTTACTTGAAACAAATGTACATTTTATGATGAATATACTTCCAAAATACACACGTTTAAGTTCACTTTTTATTACTACTATGATTGTTATTATCATTGTTCAGGTATTGCAATAAAATATACATTTGAAAGTTTCAAGAAAATAAAAAATTAATAGTTAAAAAAAAAAAAGTAATATAAATAAGTTAGTTAACAGAAAAATGAAAATGATTAAAAACAAAAAACACAAAGTATGGAAAAGCTGCAACTAGAAAATTATTTATCCGTTTGGACAATTAGCCAAATTTTACATCTGAAAAACACATTTTGAGATGCTCTGTGAGTATTTAAATAACTTCACTAAATTTTTTTTCATGTAGAAAAACTGAACTACACTACCAGTGGATGATTTATAAACCAATAGTGACTTCTTGCTTCCCTGATGTCCAGCATAATATCAATACCTCTGAGGAAGAAAGAGTTCCAGATCTGCAGTCAGCTTTTAGTGTTTATCCTAGCAACGGAGTGCTACTGCCCACTCAGACAGCAGAATTCAGACTGACCTTTGCTCCTTCTGCAGTAAGCAATTTCTAAGTTGTGTTTTCAGAGTTCAGCATTAAATGCTGAACAGTGTTTGTTTGCAACTTAGCAGTTAGGAGGGATGCTTGTAATTTGGCCTGTCAGCTGTTAGCTAACACAGGTTCAGTCCTAGGTGTTAACAATGCTCTAGATCAGTGGTCTCCAACCAGGAAAGGAGGGGGGGGGGGAAGGGGGGAGTTATAAAGGGGGCATCAAGGAGTTTAAAAAAATGAGTTAATTTGTAAGTGTAATAATCGGTTATATTAACAAAAAAAAAATTAAATTGTAAATAAAATATTTTAAAATCATTTATAAAAGAAAGGCCAAGGACATTTTTGTTTTTATGTGCAGTGTGTATATCTAATGTTAAATATCTAATTTAATAGGATAACACCTTCATTTAATTATAGATTGAGAAAACATTTCTCATCTCTTTGTTATGTTTGTGGATCGCCATATACTCAAAAGGGTGTGTGGGGGGGGGGGGGGGGGGGGGTTGCATATGTGTAATGGGGGTCTTGACATATACTCTGGGGTTATCACCAGAAAAAGTTTGGAGACCACTGCTCTAGATAAATGTTTTATGGCTGTACTGACCACTCGTGCTGAGGAAGATTAAAAGAACTGGCTTAATTACACACAAAGATGGATAATGAGCGAAACAGAAGAATTTATGCAGATTAGTCGTTTGTAACTGAAACAGCTGAATGCGTGGCACAATAGGGAATAAGGGTGGCAATAAGGAAGAAATTAGGACAGTGCACATAACACTCTCTAAAAGTTATTAGTGGAAACATAACAAAACTGCTAACATTATCAGAATCTAGAGAGATAACTACACATTAAAAATTAAAATTTTCAAGGGCTCTGCATACTGTGTATACTCCAGGGCCATGGAACATATTTGTTGTTGTTTTGGGAACAAAATCAGCTTATTGGGGGGGGGGGGGGTTGGGGGGAGGGGGGAGGCTGGGGGTGTGTACTTATAAAGCTTGTATATATATATATATATACATACATACACCAGTTTTGGGGCTTATTTGGTCAGATTTGAAATTCTTCGTCCATTACATCATTGCAGTAATAAGTTTTGTTCTGCTCGGTTTATCACAAAGCTTTATTTTTGTTATGCTCGCTCCTTTTAGAAACTTAAACGCAAACAACAAAACACAAAAGGATAAGAACAGCTATCAACATTTCAGCAAAATGTCACAGAATACTTCAAGATAAAACTGAATGAGAAAATCTTGAGCATGAAATGAATTGAAATATTAAACTACGACAAAAGACACTAAAGAAAACCATTTGCCTGCAGTCTAGACAGACACTTCTACACTGGGTTTTGAAACTGAAACAAAAGCACACCGATCATTCACATCAAATGATACTTTCACATCAACTCTTGCATCACATGTATTTTCAGTGTGCCCCCAATCACTTTTTTGTTTTTCAAGATTTAACTAAATACAAAAAATATTGATGTTAAATTTTTAAAACATACCAAAATATTCGGCCAGAAGTACAGTTTTGCTTGGCAAGGGTGAAACTGTACCAGATATGTACAGAAAGTACCAACTTTAGCTATCCTGACATACATGTGTTTGACCTGGTTTAGACCCCTGTGTTTACTTTCAGTAGTGATGTACCAGTCCAGTACTTGAGTCTCAATGAGGCAGTCAGTGTTAGTTTTCTTTATTGGTTTCATTCAGCAAGGATTATAAGTTTAAACAAGTAAAGGGTCCATATCCAAAACATGGATATGTGGTGTTGATGCCACATTTGTGTAGATTATTTACAGCAAAAGTGATTTTGTGTGTGCATTAACATTGCTAATCTCATCTGTTTTTTTTAAAATTGCTTTTCTTATTAAAAAAAAAAAATGTGTCATTTATTTTTGTTAGGAAGGTGACTTCCACAGTGTTGCCCACATGCTTATACAGAACACTCCACCACAAAAGTATGGGATATCAATGGCTGGCAGCAGGAAAACAACATTGTATGATATTGAAGGACTGGGAGATGAAGACAGCATCCTTGAACAAGGAGGATGTAAGTATTAAGACATCAACACTAGAATTGTTATACATGGTGCCACGTTAGCGCAGTCAATAGGAGACTAGCTTTCAAATCCAACCACGACTCGCTGCAGGCAACACCGGTGTTCGAAACTGGCTGGTTTTTGGGGTTCACCTAGCCTCTAGGTAATGGGTACCAGAGTTGACACTCTGGGGTAAATGGAGGAACGTCGCTGTAGCTGCAGAGTTGTTTGCGGACGGCGACACAGACGGACAGTTTCTTATCAGCTTATCAGTCCATACTGGTGGCAGAGCACTTATGGTTTATAACCGTGTGCAATGACGCTGATTCACATTTCATGACTTTACCTTTATTGTTATACATATCTAAACATATAATTGATAATTTTGCTTTCCAGAACATGATTGCTAACTCTCTTCTTCTATTTTCTTCATTGTTTTGAGAAGGACAGTGGTTGTGCATGTTCATAGAAAATATGAAGTACAGGTTGGCCATATTGATGGGAAACATTTCAAATGCATATGTGAAGCATGTGGGAAGCAAAATTTATTACCAAATGTATGGAAAACGCTGCCAGAGGATCTGAGTTTTGCACTGTGTTCAGTGTTTGAAGAGATGGACACCACTTTGATGGGAACGTTGTTTGGCTCTAACAGCCATGTTCAGCATAGTGTTGCAAAGGGTTGTCGACTAGGATGGCCGCTTTCTCCTTTCAGATATTGTCCTTTAGTTTGTTGATGGTAACTAGCAATGAAAGAAACATGCAACAGTAACTCCCATCCTTATACTTCCTATTAAACTATATCTGAAACAAGCATGACAGTTTTTGCTCTCATTAATATAAAAATAAATGTGTCTCACAGTATAGCTCACCCTTTATTTGCATGTTTTACCTAGCATATCTGGCTTCACCCCGACCTTTTAAGCCAGAATTACCTTTCCCTAGCTTCCTATATTTTATAAATCTTTTGATGGATCTGTCGAGAGAGTTATAAAGAGTGGAGTTTATTGTAAAGGTAAATGGACACTGTTTCAAAATCAGAGAGCCTGGCATATAATGTTACAACATCAAGTATTAGAATTGAGGTGGAGGCAGTAACGGCAGCTTTCCGATGGCTGTAGAGCAGCATAGTCCAACACGTGGTCATTGTAACAGACTCACAGAGCATGTTTCGGAAAAAAGAAACTGGCATCCTACATGTAGAGTGTCTTGCAAGACTTGAAAAGACTCAGATCAGGAACATATGTCCAGAAAATTCTGGTGTGTGGGGTAATGAGCAGTCTGATAGATTGGCTGCGGCAACTGCTCTGGGTGGGGATCTACTATATGAAAAAGCGGATGTGGTAAAGGCTCTCTTGGATCAAGTGGAGAGTGCATCAGAACAGACCAAGCATTTAAACATTGATAGACTAATTCAGTGGAAAGGGAGTGGGGGTGGGGAAGGAAAATAGAGGATCTGGGAGATATTCAGAACTGAGGGGAAAACATGGATAAACATGCAGTCAGGTTGCAACTGTTACAGTTAGCATATTGACATTTTGTTGGCTACTGATAAAGGAGACGGGGCCCATGTATGAATGTCCCGAGTGCGGGGATGTCAGTTCTTGATTGTTTGATTCATTCATTAATTTGCTATTTTTGGTGATTTTTCACATTTTAAAATTGTACAAGGACACTGATTTGTGAAACCTATTCTGTAGGATTGTCAGCTACTAAGTGTCTATGGAACTTACATCATACACACAGAACCTCATATTATCCACTATTACCCGAGAAGGAGAGGGATGTATCCACTACTGAAATATCAGGATAAAGTTTGACATTTTTTTAACCATTACTGAAACAGATGGATGCGATGTCACATTATTTTATCCACCTCTAAAATATCTGGATGCGAGGTGACACTTTTTTATCTACTACTGAAATATCTGGATGCAGAGTGAGGTCATTTTATCCTCTACTGAAATACCACTATGAAATGTGACATCATTTGATGCACTGCTGAAATATGAAGGTGAAATGTGACATCATTTGATCCACTGCTGAAATACCATGGTAAAGTGTGTCATTTGATCCATTATTGAAAGACTAAAATTTCCAGGGCTCTATGTTTGGTGGAAAAAGAATAGACCCACTCCCTTACTTGAGAAAAAAAAATAAAGCTAGTTACATATCCTTTTATAGGACATTGCAGAACCAATGCCAGCTTTTTTAGCAGCTGTGGTTTTTCTATGCAAATTTACATTCAGTAGTTTGCCTTTGCTTTCTAAACCGTTGGGTCTCAGTACCTCTGTAGAAACTAGTGCAAGATGGTCTGCTGCCATATCACCTGTAGCTGGGATCGAAACCCAGCATTTCGAAGCTCACAACGCTTAAGCTCCAGGCAGCGATCCATAAATAGAAAAAAAATAAAAGCAAGTGGTAAAAGGCAATTAATTAGGGATTTTTCCTCTGAAGTCGGAGCGCATTTTTCTAAGAGGTAAGGAACCAACAGACTGCACACAAGAAAGCCAGATCTGTTAAGTAAATGTACTTGCAGAATTCAAGTTTTTTAACAAGAAGTTGATAAACAACCAGAACTTTCTGCTGGCATTTATAGCTGGTTAATACTAAGAAGAAGGAGAAGAAATACCACGGTGAAGTGTGACATAATTTGGTCCACTACAGAAACTACAGAAAATGTGACATGATTTGATCCACTGCTGATGTACCAGGATGAAGAATGACATCATTTTATCCATTAGTGAAATACCCAGGGGGAAGTGTGACATAATTTGAGACAATACAGAAATACCAGGGAGAATTAGGACATCATTTTGAGAAGTAGCATCATTATATCCACTGCTGAAATACCCAGGGGGAAGTATGACATAATTTGAGACAATACAGAAATACCAAGGAGAATTAGGACATCATTTTGAGAAGTGACATCATTCTATCCACTACTGAAATACCCAGGGGGAAGTGTGACATAATTTGAGACAATACAGAAATACCAGGGAGAATTAGGATATCATTTTGAGAAGTAGCATCATTCTATCCACTACTGAAATACCCAGGGGGAAGTGTGACATAATTTGATCCACCTCTGAAGTACCATGGGGAAGTGTGAAATCATTTGATCCACTACTGAAGTACCATGGGGAAGTGTGACATCATTTGATCCATTACTGAAGTACCATGGGGAAGTGTGACATCATTTGATCCATTACTGAAGTACCACGGGGAAGTGTGACATCATTTGATCCATTACTGAAGTACCATGGGGAAGTGTGACATCATTTGATCCATTACTGAAGTACCATGGGGAAGTGTGACATCATTTGATTCAGCTTGCTAATATACTTTTCGTTCGGTTTTATATCTTTTCTTGATATTTTTATTGCTTCACAGCAGTTCATTAATCTCACTCACATCGTGTGTCCTGCCCGCCCAGAACTGCTACTATCTGTTTGTACCTGTACCACTCATCCATATTGTACATTATTAAGTGATTTTGTGTATCTATGTAGTATTGTTTCATTTGTATGTGCTGATGAAGGCTCAATAGCCGCAACGTTCACGTTTTGTTTGTATTTGTTATATTGTGAAGCTTGCTAATATACTTTTCGTTCGGTTTTATATCTTTTCTTGATTCACTACTGAAATACCATGTAGATAAGTACCTTTAAAATGTATGTTATGAAACACAGTATTTTCCCGGTGTGGGTTCTGGGGCCCCATTTTAGAGGGAGAAAAATAATAGACCCACTACCATTTGGAGAAGCATGTTGTAAAGTCTATTAATCAAAGGTTTGCTTAAATCAGTTGTGAGGGGGGGGGGGGGGAAAGGGCAGAAGTTACAGATAGCTGCAGACAACAGTAAACCATGCCCATCACCCATTTAATAGCGAACATAAAAGAAGATAAAGAATAAGGAGGAGGAGGAGGAGGTGGAGGAGAAGGAGGAGGAGGAAGAAGAAAAAGAAGAAGAAGAAATACAACATTGGACCAGCTTGGAAATATTTGTTGTTTTAAATAAGTAGCTCACTAGTAACCTTGAGTGTTCTGTGTAAACTAAGACATGCAAAGAAAAACCTTACAAAAGTTGTGGATGAGATTACGTATGAGATTTAAAAAATAAAGTCTGTCTAGATCATATAGATTGTCATATGTGCACTCAGTTCTGTTGATTGCCCTATTCTTGAATAAGTCTATGACTCATTCTTTCCATAATAAGGGTTCATGCAATGAATCATGCAGTATTTCAGTTAGTAATACCATCATCATCATCAGGTGCCTTGCCGACTGGCGTGGGCGATCATGCATCTCCATAAGCTGCGTTCTCCTGCAGCATGTATCAGTTCGTGTGCCGACACCTTCCTCTATCCCTTTTTCCATAGATCTTTCCAGTAGTCACAACATGTTCTATTTTCCCTCTTCTCATAACATGGCCGAAAAATGATGACTGTCTCCTTCTTATGTCTGTGATAAGTTGTCTTCGGGCTCCCGCCTCTTTCAAAACCTCTTGGTTGCTCTTTTTGGCAGTCCAAGGTATTCTAAGCATTCTTCTGTAAAACCACATCTCTGAGGCCTCTAAAAATTGTTTGGCCTGCCTACCAATTGTCCAGGATTCACATCCAAATGTTAAAACTGGATGTATGTAGCAAGCAAGAATTCTTTTTCTAACTCTCAATGACAAGGATATATTGCACAAGATGTTTTTCATTTTATAAAATGCAGTTTTTGCCTGTCCAATAAGTAATATATGCAAGTGAAAACACAATTTCTGTTTCCACTGTGTCCATTTCAGCAGTTTTACCATTCAGAGACATCATGGCTCTGGGACTGGAGATGAAAGGCAAGTGTGTGCCATTAAATGTGGTTCTTCATCCTTATGCACTAATCATCCAGGCACCAATTTTGAGAGGTTCAACTATCAAGAAACTGTTCACAGTAAGTTTTGTGTGGATACTGAAAGCAAATATTTCTCTTACTTCTTGCTGGGAGAGACCACACATGTATAGACATGTTAAATGTAGTAGTCTTTATTGTGTGTAATAGTCATGACCATGGGATCTATTTTAAAGACAAACTGGCAAAGGCTAGGTTTAAATCAGTGGTTTTCAACTGATTTCAGGTGGTGCCCTTTGAATTTATGGCATGGCACCCCCCCCCCCCCCCCCCCCCACACACACACACCCCCTACCCCTCCCCTGACCTTTTCCAAACTTTATAAATAAAAACATTGAAAAGAGGAGGACAAAAGAAGCACTATTAACAGGAAAATGGGAAAAATATCCACAAAAATTTCAATGTCAAATAATATGAAAGAAACAGTAACCAGCCACTGATAATTTAGTGTCCAAATATCAGTGCAGGGGTTGATACTTTTGTATGGATGATGTCTGCTATTGTTTGTCTGATGTTGGACAAGGCACAGTGGAGATTACTCTCCACATCAAGCTGGCAGCACTGGACTTTTAAAGCTGACAATCCAGACTGAGAAAGATATGTGGAGCAACATCTAAAGCTAATTTTGCCACACAACGGTACATTGCAAGATACTGCACCACTAAAATGCGAAATCGTTTTTAGTCAGCTCAGTTGCTCCTTCTTAAATAGACTGGTATTATATTGATGTCAATAATGGTATTATTTCTTTTTAACTCCTAAGACAAGTCATCAGATGATGGATTTTGAAAATAGGGATTTAACAAAATTCACCATTGTATAGTTATTTTCAGTGTTTGGTTCAGATCTTGTGGCAAAGTTCTGGCTGCCAAAACCAGTCTATGAAATATACAATCAGTTCCATTGATGTTTGGATGTTTTATTTAACCAATTTAAGAAACCCAGAATGTGAACCTATCAATGCTGCTGTACTATCTGTACAAACACCCAGTACTTTTGCTCGTAACAGTCTATTTTTATGAGAGAAAATTGTCAACTGTAAAATAAAACAGCACAGGCTTTTGATGTTGTTTGTAAACATTTGGAGTATCTTTATCCACACGTAAACTATATACAATTGGCAACACTGAGCCAAATCAGTATTTTCATCACACTGGATTGAAGAAAAAAAAAGGATGACATTTTCACTTTTTGAATAGCTTGTTTTACTGTATCTTTCAGAAGGGTATTTTTTCTGACAGTGCTATCAGAAATATAAATTTCTGATAATGTTTCACAACTTGCATCACCAAAAACAATATTTTCACCTAATAAAATGCAAGGTTTAACATGGGTTTTCCCATTGTGTACTAAAATGCCTCTGAAGACGTGCAGGTCTCTTTGCATCGTTAGTGAGAACACAGTGGTTTTTTGCTTGCCATTACTGTCTAACACTGTAAAACCAAACTTAATATAGTCATCTTTGTACAATCTTTTCTTTAGCACAGACATTATTATTTTATTTTTAAACACTAAAATAAAAGCACACTAAAGAGTTTAACAAAATTTTTAAAAATAACACAGCCACATTTTATGTCAAGTGTTTTAAATTTTTACTTTAAAATTGTTCAATGAGAATGTTCTATCAGTCAGGAGGCGTTATCAAAAGTAAGGAAATATGGTTTGGTCAGAATTTTTTCATAATCTATAATTAAATGCATGTGTTATCTATAATTTTAATTTTTTTAATCGTAGATGTACACATTGCTAATAAAAACAAATATATCCTTGGTTTGTTGTTGTATAAATAGTTTAAAAATATTTTACTTATAATTTAACTGAAAAAATAAATAAAAGATCGCTTGACAACCCCCTCCCTCCCCCCCCCCCTCCCCCCCAACACTTTCCTCCGTTTTGCCCTTATCCCTGCCTTGAAACTTTATTGTGTAAGGTTGAAAATCGCTGGTTTAAATGGACAGAGCTGAGCCACTTGCTTTTACTTTCTCATTGGTAAGGTTAAGAGGAGGATAATAATGGGAAGTAGCTGAGGAGAAAAAAAGAAAGGAGAAATAGAAAGAGAAAGCAACAGTAGTAGGACAGATTAATAAGTAACAATAGCACAATGAATACATATAATTTTCATCTAACTTCTAGCAGATAATGTGCAATAATCAATGTTTCATAAATCATACATCTTAAACATGTATAGACATATACGTGTTTTTTGATTTTAGATGGCCAACCACAGCTACTCCACCATTACATTTAAATGGCAATCCTATACAGAGAGCTATATTATAGAGGTTGAGCCTCCTTTTGGTGATTTAGGTAAGTTGTGACTTTCTGATTTTCAAATCTGTTTAATTCATTTTTGTCTGTTGTCTAATGTAGATGTTAATTTCTGTGTCCCTTTTCTGGATCGACTTTTATAAGGGGGCACTCTTTGAAGTCATGTGGGCCAGAGCAGTAGCGACACAATGGGCTGCTGCGGCAGGTCGCGGCAGTGTGCCACGCCCTGTTGCAGCGTGAGCATTGAATGATGTCTCCGGTGTAGGCTCCAGGCTGCTGCTTTGGTAGACGGGTGCTGGAGGGTCCCTGCGCCACGACTGGGTTGGCTTAAGGTGTTGGTGCCACGAAAGGGGCGGCTTCAGGTGATGGCATCCCTCTGTTAGGTGAGGGGGCACCATGACAGGGGTGCCTTCCTTTGGTGTTGGTGGAGAAGCTGTAACACTGGCATGCACATGGCTGTGGTCAGGCTTGACCGGCATCTTCTTTGGCTTCGGTGCGGCGGCTTGAGCCTGTTTTTTTTTCCATGTCGGAAAAAATGCTGTAAATGGCAATAATAGAACTGTATACCGCAACTACAAAGGGCCCAAAATCCTTAGAAGGGAAGTGTATCTGTATTTATTTGAGTCTTTTTATATTCATTTGTGTGCATGTCATTGCCTGTGTATATGTGTCTGAGTTTTGTTCTACTTTATATTGTGTGCACGCGCACACACACATATATACACATATACACACATAATTAATTTTGTTAAGAGAAAATGAGCCTGTTTTTTCCCCTTATGGGTCTACAGAACTCAAAAGAGAATATGTTGGTGGCAATTCTACAGTAATGCACCAGACGAGATGCAGCAAAATATACCAACAATAAAATTTTGCATTGTTAGTGACCTCTTTGTTTCAACACACACGCACCCACACATGCACGCGCATGCACACACAGGTACAAAAAATGAAAATATTGCCTTGAGTTCCTTCATTCCTTTATTATGTATTTCTGCAGAACCAGGCATGGCCATGGATTTTGAAATGAATGTGACAGGAGTGGAGCCAGGAGTCATCAGTCACACAGTACTGTGTCATATTCTCAACATGATGCAGCCCCTACACTTTCTAGTAGAAGCAGAGTTTACGGTTAGTTAAGTTTTTGTTTGACTGTTCAGTGATGATCAAATCTGGACCCTTAAACTCTTTAAAGACTTTTTGCCAGGTTACTGGCGAATGAATTTATCCCTAATGGACTAATCACCAGTATACTGGTGTATCATAGAGACACTCTAATTTTGTTCTGTTTAAGGGGAGAACAAACATTTATGAACAAGTTTTTGAACAATTAAGATTAACAACAGGAAGTCCTTTTGTTTGCAAAGTTCATCATGGTCGGTGCGTTATTTTCTGATTAAAAAAAATTATTTAGATGGGATACAATTTTTACGTGATTTTTCTATACCAAATGATAAGGGAAAAGGTCTAGAACTGTTCATACTGCTCTGTCATTGATGAATCTCCACCAGATGGTGACAACAGTCTTGATATTATGTTTGATATCTTAGTGACAAACCTATTGGCAATAATTTAGTTTAAGATATGAAAATTGAACAAAATATTTAAATCGGATCAGTGTTTTGATCAGCTGTTCTTCTGATTTTTGGTTGTTGGGAAATTTGACATATCATACAAAAATGATCATAACATTCAAAGTATTTAAATTAATTGTTTCAAATAAAGACTAGTTGGTACATAATTAACCAGAGAAGGCATGTGCATTCTTAAAATTGGATAGCAATGTTGTTGAACAAGTTAAAAAGTAAGGTAAGCATAAAATTGTTTATGTCAATGATCTTCATATGTGTCTAACATCCTTAAATGTTGTGTGATTTTAATAATATTTTGTTGTAATACTGATATTTAAATAGTTTAGATTTATTTTGCACTCATTTATCTTTAATTTGATATATTATATGTCCTGATACAGCCAATACTTTTTCTTCAGGAAGGTTTTAGCTTTGTTGTGTTGCAGTAAAAAAATTGCTTAAAATTAATGCTGTCCAAACCCCAGAAAAAGTGTGGTCCTGAAAGAGTTAAAAACTAGTATCACGATTGATTTAAATTTTCTACATTATCTTTTATAAATGATAATTGTATATATAATAATTAGTAGAAAAGTAGCTAGATTTTTTCTCTGTCAATAGTTATCTTTTTTGTTTATGCATGTTTTCTGATTGATTTGCGTATCAGCCTGTTTTACTAATTTTTTTTAGACTCTTGTAAGCTGAGTGGCTAGCATTTATGGTTTTGTATCCAATTGTTAATGGCAGAATCTCTTTAAGTATTATCCGTTTAAAAAGAAATGTTTATGTTTTGATTATAAATTCCATTTATTCTTTTTTAACTTATATATAGTTTTGAAAAATAATTATATATATAACTGACATTTAAACTGCAGTAAAATATGAAAATACATCATCTAAAATATTAATGTGAAGTATAACACTCACAGTTTTTAACCCTTTCGCTGCTTTGGACGAGATAACTCATCCGCCCAGTAGACTGCTAAAGACGAGCTAACTCGTCTTCCGTTTTCTGTGCCCTCACTGCTAAGGACGAGCTAACTCGTCTTCGACTTTTCTTACAGATTGCTAAGAGCCGTAATTATCATGAGTGAAATTGCAATATACATTGCCTAAATCTGATCAAACTGACACATCTACATACAATGAAAACACATATCACGTTCGTTTAGGTGTATTTAGATGCATTTCAAGTGATCCTGTTGCTTTGTTACCATAGAAGCACGGTCGGTGGACAGTATTTTCTTTGCCCTGAAATATATTTCTGGTTTTGCGTTAGTCTACTTATGTTTTTTTTTTTAAAATACAAAATAACAAGAAAATGGGTAATTCAAGTTGATGAAGAATTATTGGAATTTCTTTCAAGGAGTAATAGTAAGGATCACTTTGAAATGTGTGAGTTATATGAGCTGGGTTATCTTCGCGGCACGCCGGAGGACACGTGTACTACTGGCCGTGGGCAAGACTGACCATATGACCCAGCTATCTACATCGACTGGATTTGAAATGGATCCCTAGTAATCAAAATGAAGATCTGGTCACGTACTGACATGATGATTAATATTAATGTTTCTAAAATACTATACAACTGACATAAATGTGTCTGTCTATTAAAGTTTACAATACTAGTCTATTTTCAGTTCTAATTTACATATGAATTTCTAGTGTAGTTGGTATCACGTTTGCCTGACAATTGAAAGGTCCTGCGTTCAACCCCTACATGGCGTTTAAAAAAAAAAATTATTTTAAATTTAAGCTTTTAGCACTTTTGGCAACAAATCACCTAAGTAGTAATTAATTAAACATCCTGTCACTTGCGTTGAGGTGGATTTAGATGCGTTACATGTTATCTTGTTCCTTTGGGAAGCGTTGTTGGTGTACTGTGCATTTGTGGGGGAAAACACCCCTGTTGCCGAATTTCACTTAATGTTAGTAAGATAAATTCTACAAAAATATGGCAAGGAAAAAAGAAAAAGTGTAGGAGGACAAAAAAAGTGAAGATCTTCCACTTCGTTTATTACAAAGGAATTTCCCTAACAATAATAGAGTCCGTAACATCACAGCAGAAATTCCCAAAAATAAAGTATGTGGTATGCGCTTAAAGCACACACACAAAAAAACGGGAAACATGTGCAAGAACTGTGATTTGGCATTGTGTGTCGCATCTTGTTTTTAAATATTTCACACAAAAAGATATTATTATTAATAATAACAACCATGTATTTGCTTACTAAAGTGTTTTGTGTTTGCTTTGTAAGTTTGTAGTGTTTTCTTTTTGTTAATGAGTTTTCATGGCGTAGCCATAGCGCGGCTGACTTGTCAGAGCAAAGGTCAGCCATACGCCTTTAAAGATTTTTTATTTTAGGGGTACAATTTTTACACCACGCCGCAAGCGGGTCTTCTGCTTTTGGAGGGAAAACAGGTATTCATCACATAAGGAAAGATTAGCACTCGCCTAGCTCAGCACAGTGGTTACGTTGGCTGGCGGTGGGCGCAGCAGCAACAGGGTTAAGGTAATTAAGTGAGAAATTTTCATTTTTAGTGAAGCTGCTTCAGTGAACCACTTTATATTGTTATGTATATATTATAGGGGCCTGAACTAAAGATAGAAGAACCATCAATCAACTTTGGCCTCATTCGAGTTGGTCAGTGTGAAATTAGGGAAATGACCATCATCAATACCTCTGAGACCGTTGTGAAGTTCACCATTACTGACTGTCCAGTTGACAAGGATTGTGAGGGCTTTTCAGTAAGTGTTCAGTAAATATACAAGAAAAAAATAGCTATTTGAAACAATGCAATTTTTATGAAGAGACAGCAACAACAGTTTATAGCAGGGCTTTTCAACAAAGTTTATTCAGGGACCAACATTTTGAAAATGAGGATTGTCACAGGCTAGAGGTTCGAGCCCCAACATAGAAAGATCATTGAGACGATACCATGGGCAATGATCTACATCTTGATTGCTAGACCTTTGGCAATGATCTCCATGTCACTAGCTAGACCTTTGGCAATGATCTCCATGTCACTTGCTAGACCTTTGGCAATGATCTCCATGTCACTTGCTAGACCTTTGGCAATGATCTCCATACCACTTGCTAGACCTTTGGCAATGATCTCCATACCACTTGCTAGACCTTTGGCAATGATCTCCATGTCACTTGCTAGACCTTTGGCAATGATCTCCATACCACTTGCTAGACCTTTGGCAATGATCTCCATGTCACTTGCTAGACCTTTAGCAATGATCTCCATGTCACTTGCTAGACCTTTGGCAATGATCTCCATACCACTTGCTAGACCTTTGGCAATGATCTCCATGCCACTAGCTAGGCCTCTGTGGGTCAGATTTGGCCCCCAGACCACCAGTTGAATAGCCCTGCTTTACAAGGACACTGGCCAGAGCAGTATCCCTAGCACTAATACATAAACTGCAGCTTCTCATAGAATGCATTATGACAAATTCTGAACTAATACAGGGAATACAAAAATGTTTCTGCTGGTCTGCCAATTCACAGATAAGGCAAGATAAAATGTCAAGTTTAAGAAATATTTTATTTTTAAATAGTGTAAACTGAATGTTGCTGTCACAGAAACTATTTGGCCTATTCCTACCTCAGTCAAGACAAAAACTGTATGGTACACAAGCATATTTTGACTACACAACAGCTTAATGGCTGCAAGCTGCTGATTTAAGTTTTCTGACATAAAGATCAAGGACGAATGAAGATGTATAATTATACCATTACCAACCACACACAGCTGTGGAAGTTTTCAGATGTTCCTAAGTGCATAAACTGATTGCATCTAAACTTATGGGAATTAGCAACAAGAAAATATTGTCTGTACACTACGTCCTAATAGAATATTTCCTGGAATAAATAGTGACTGGATACAATATTAGGCCCTGTAAATGTGAATAAGAGTTATCATTGTATTGGAAGGATTAAATACGATGGTTACTGGTAACATTCTGCTAAGATCAATTAGGTCAGTGTTTTTAGAATCTATAAAGAGAGTTGCAGGACAGGAAAAAAAGGAGAAGCATTAGTGTTAAAACATTTATTACTGTTTAAATTAGGAGCCGTGGCACAGTAGGGGCCAGCATGCTGCCTGCTGGCCCATGGTCATGTGTGGAAATCTTTACAGAGGTAGGGATTGGTTAAAAATGACCCAGGGCTAACATCTTGACCTAGCCTAAAATTGGAACAAGGAAACAGTTTCAGGAAATGAAGGAAACTGACATAATAATGACTGTCACTCATATAATGCTGATTAACCTTAAACAAATTAATGATTAGGGCCAGATACTGAATCTGCCTTAAGATTGAGAAAAACCTGCTTTTATTAAATTACTGACAACCTTAATACATTTGCTGGATTGACTGTTGCCTTTGTAGATATTAGGAGTTAATCATGTGTAATTCACTGGTGAATTGAAATCAGATTATTATTCTCATTTGCATTTGGGAATGTATATAGAAAGCTTCCATTTTTGGCTGTTGTTTGTGTCATTGAAAGAAGGTGGTGGGGATTACAATTAATTTGTGTCAGAGCAGTCGCCATGCAGTTTATAGGCTAAGATTTGTAACCATGAATCCTTCTATTACTTGTCATTCTGTGGATTTAGATAACAAATATCTAACACAAAACAGTGAAGGAAATGGTTAGGTGAAAACAATCCTGTATGTCTCAAGAAATGTTGAATACCTCTGACTGGTAATTTGAAATGGGCTTGTGTTGCAGCTACTCAGGGAGCTGAGTATCTCTGAAACATCTGGTGAACTGAAACCATTTGCTAGAGTAGCAGTAACCTTGACCATGATACCTGCATTTGCTCATACCATAAGAAGAATGTGCAGTGTAGAGTATGAAGGTGGAAAAACATGGTAAGAAATAATGTTGGTTTTGACTACAGTATGAAACATTTATCAATACATGTTCACACAATTATCAACAAAATTTTCTACTGTTGCTCTCTCATATGCATTACTAGTTTCTGTTGTGTACGAATTGGATTATATCATTTAGCTTGTATATTTAAATACGTTTAGTCAAAATAATTATTCTTTTGTAAACATTTATTAGATTTCCATTTTTCAAAAAAATATTCATCATCATCAATGTGTTACATATCCTTTGAAAACCATCGTACTATCGATGGAAGCCTGGATAGCCACTTGGTCCCTGCCCAACTTCCCTACCTTCTAAACTGTCAGTCTCCTTTAATATATACTGTGTCCACTGTTACACCACTTCCTCCCGGATGTTAGAAAATGTCAAATATTTTCCTTTTCCTGGTCCATGATAAGCTAAGAATCTTCCTACAGCATTTAAATTCAGTAGGACTGATTTTCCTTCTTTCTTTCTTTTATGATTGCAAATTAGTCCATTTATCACATTTTAATAATAATGCTTAAATAAAAAGAAATATGTCCAGTTCTTTTTAAATAAAATAAGCTTTTATTTAAAATGTATACAAAAATTAATGCGGCTCACTAAACTCAGAGGAAAGGTAAGACAGACATATAACCAGATTGTGACCGGTACCATCAGTATTGGAACTATGCGCTGGCTGCTGAAGATAAGGACGGAGCATGCATGGGAATACCTCAAGTGCTGTAATGTCAGTTCTTGACTCAACTCAGCTAAACAGTAACTAATGCACTAAAAAAATAAAAAATAAAATTAATTTTTGTGTTATCATATAGTTTAATAGAAAAAAGATAAAAAAGAATTCTCTTTTCGATGGGGCACCCTTGAAAGTAATATACAAATAATTACCTCATGTATTTATATTTAACAATTGAATTGAATGTATACAGATTATGGCTGATACTTTTGACACTGCAAGTTGAGTATTATATTTTGTAATTAATCAAGTAACAGAAAGTGTTGTGATCGGCACTCATAGAAAGAAGTAGAAAGATAGAAGAACACACTACACAACATAAAAATCGAAAGCTACAGTTACCGTGCCGGGAATTAAACCTGTCACCTCCAGACGGCGTCTGTGCCTCGCCATGAATACTGCTGTGATTGTTATTCGACATTTGCTTTGTTAATATAAATTTCTGTAACTTATAGTGCCATTTCAATGAGTTGAAATGAATTCTGTCTGTATTTCAAGTATTTCATAGTTGTGGATTTCAAGCTGTATGATAGACATGGCCAATAAGACACCTTTTTTGGGGGGTGCCTAGTTGACCATGTATCTTAGTGCACTTGTATTCATGGCGAGGCGCAGACGCCGTCTGGAGGTGACAGGTTCAATTCCTGGCACGGTAACTATAGCTTTTGATTTTTATGTTGTCTAGTGTGTTCTTCTATCTTTCTACTTCTTTCTATGAGTGCTGATCACAATACTTTCTGTTACTTGATTAATTCATAATATTTAACGGCCTCAAAAGGTTCCCCCCTCTGTTTATTTATAGGAATGACGTATACACACCGGAACCTACCAACCAAATACCTTTCTTAAATGTTTGTGTATTCTAGACAAGGCAGTAAGGTCTACTGTGTTCGTAAATTGTAGCTGTGATTGTTATTCGACATTTGCTTCATTAGTATAAATTTCTGTAACCTATGGTGCCATTTCAATGGGTTGAAATGAATTCTGTCCGTATTCCATAGTTGTGAATTTCAAGCTGTACGATAGACATAGCCAATAAGACACCTTTTTTTGCGGGTGCCTAGTTGACCATGTATCTTAGTGCACTTGTATTCATGGCGAGGCGCAGACGCCGTCTGGAGGTGACAGGTTCAATTCCCGGCACGGTAACTATAGCTTTTGATTTTTATGTTGTCTTGTGTGTTCTTCTATCTTTCTACTTCTTTCTATGAGTGCCGATCACAACACTTTCTGTTACTTGATTAATTCATAATATTTAACCACCTCAAAAGGTTCCCCCCTCTGTTTATATTGTGTAAGCAGACTGCAGTAGTAGACCGAAACAGTTAATTTTTGTTATGTCACTGACGATTTTTTTTTTAAATGTTTCTTTCTCAGACCATTCTTAAACTGCTTTTTTTTGGGGAAAAGTACATTTTTTTAAAGTTAAAATGTTTGTAATTGTACTTCAGCACAGTTGCAGTGTATGCTGAAGCTCAGAACCCAGTGGTGTGCTTCCTGGAGTGCAGCAAATTTTTACCTGATGTCTACCTCAATGTTCCAGCTGTGTTCACAGTTGATCTTCATAATCAGACTTTGTTGCCTACCACCTACAAATGGGGCACAGTATGTTACATTATTTTATTATCACTGTCATATTTTATCCTAGCAATACATTATTGCTAATGAACGTAATGTGAGTCTGAGGAACAAAACTTAAAAAAATAATTCATGATGGCATTGCTGGCATGTTGATGGAAGATGTGTAGATAAACAAGCCAACTTAATTGACATATACATAAGTCTTATGATGCTATGTGTACAGTACACATATGTCTGTTACTTCACTTGGAAAGTAAGTGAGCACAAGCATCCTATTGTGTTAACTGATAGTTCTTTTTTCCGGCATTTATACATTTTTGTTGAGGTGACCCCTGAAGGTGTTGACCACCATACTTATGCAACAGCCTTGGTACTAGTGTCAACCACAATGTGTGTCGACGTGATGGATATGATTGTATTTAGTTAAAAAAGTTTTGTCTTTTTTAGGGGTTTGGGGGTTTATGACATAATAATAGCCATCACTTTGCTCCACTTCACTGTAATAAAACACACACACACACACACACACACGCACAGGCACAGGCACATGCACACGCGCACACACACTTTTTTCATGATCAAAAGGAAAGAAACTAGTTAATTCTTAGCTCCTTTTGTGTTTAGTGAACACTTCCCTTAATGACAAAAAAATACATTTGCAAATCAAAGTGACTAAAAATTTAAAATCAGCTGTTTATAGACTTGACAGTTCCAGTGGCTGTCATGCTTGGTGGTAATAGGTTTCAACCTCTGGATTTTTATAAAATCTAAGACCAAATTTCTTCTGATTCTTCTTCACTTCCTCGGTTTTCTTAGGATAGAGTTTCAACCTAGATCTGGAGTCAGACAGGGGTGAGTTTTATCACATCACCATTACTGTTCATCACATACGTTGACTAAATTTGCAAATCAGCTATCATCAGGAAAGGGGACAACATCAGAGAATTACTAAATGAATTGCTTTTCGCTGATGACCAGGCAATCATAGCACCAACAGCAGTACAACTACAGGAACATATTAATAGACTCCATTTAGAAGGCAACAACTATGATATGAAGATCAACATAGACAAAACAGAATTGATGACATTCTCCAGAAAAGGAAGAACCGCCAATATCACAATTTATGAACACCAGTTAAAGCAGGTAAATACAAGATTGCAACACTTAACACCGCTGGCCTGGGAAATAAAACAGAAGAGATTACTGAAATGATGGAAAAAAGGAAAATCAAGTTAATGGGGCTAGCTGACATAAAACGCAAGGGAAATAGTAACAAGAAAATACACAGAGGCTACTTACTAACACATGCAGGAGGAGGAACATCAAAGAATGGAGTGGGTTTCCTGGTGCATCCGAACATATCTAACTACATATTAGACATACATTATCACTCAGATAGAATTATTACTTTGAAAATTAAAAGAGGAGAACAAGCTGAAACATATAAACAGATATATGCACCATGCAATGATAATTATACAGAAGAGCAGAAAGATGAATTCTTTGACGATCTATCTGATGAGATAGAGAAAGTTGAGGAAAGCAGCATACCACTTGTAATGGGTGACTTCAACGGGAGGGTAGGAAAAAACAGAAGAGAATACGAACAGTTTTTAGGTCCACATGCAGCTAAGAACAGTGATGGAAATGGAAATGGTCAAAGAATATTGGATCTATGCAGCCAGCACAATCTTGTTATTACGAACACATTCTTTGACCATAGAGATTCACAACTTTACACTTGGTACAAATGGAATGATGTCTCCATCAAGAGCCAGATTGACTTTATACTTACCAGAGTTCAAGGAAGAAGAAGAATTCTTGATTCAAGAGCAATCCCTAATGGTCTATGTGACACTGACCATAAAATAGTTATGTTAACAGCAAAACATCTTACATTAAAGAAACACAGAAAGAAATTAACCAAAAACAAGGATCTCATCAAGATAGCAAATCTGAAACAGGAAGGAGTAAAAGAACAGTTACAACAGAAAGTAGAGACAGCATTCAAACAACTTCAACATGTAGTTGGCAATATTGAGGAAGAATGGAGTAAATATAAAAACACTATGCTTAGTATTGCAGAAGAATTATGTGGAAAACGGAAGAGTGGAAACAGATGGGGAAATAACAAATATTCACCTTGGTCGTGCGAAGAAGTAAAAGACGCAATTAAAAAGAAAAAGGACTTGTATAAACAGTTGATAAAATCAAAGAAAGAAGAACATTATATAAACTATAGACTGCAAAGGAGAGAAACCAACAGGAGTGTCAAGAAAGCAAAACAAGCATCCTGGGAACGTTTCGGTGAGTCATTAGCAGAAAATGAGAAAACAGCCAGCAGAAAATTTTTCAAAGTAGTCAAAAATATGCGGAAAAGAGATGAGAGCTACAACCCCACTGAAATAATTAATGAAAAGACAGGAAGGCCATTGATAGATCCACCCGAGATAGCAGAAAGATGGAGGGAATACTTCAATGAGCTCTTTAATCCTCTAGGAGATCATCAGGAAAGAACAACTGAAGAGCACAGAGCAACAGTGTTAGAACCACACATACTAATGGATGAAATAGAAAAAGTCATTAAGCAGTCTCTCAAATATAAAGCACCAGGAGCTGATAGATTACCAACAGAAAAAATTCAAACAGCAGGTGAAAGCATCATCAGATGGCTTCACAGAATATTTAATGCAGCATGGGTACAACAAACTGCCCCTATTGATTGGCAACATGCAATAGTTATAGCATTGTGGAAGAACACAGGAAGCAAGCGAGAATGCGGTCAATACCGAGGCATCTCTCTTTTAAGCCATGTTGGTAAAATGTGTGCCAAGATAATAGAAACAAGACTGAGACCAGTGATAGAACCACAGCTGGCAGAAGAACAGCTGGGATTTAGGAGAAATAGAAGCTGCACAGATGCAATCTTCACACTTAAACAGTTAATAGAAAAGAACATTGAATACAATAAGAACTTATTTGTGGCAATCGTAGACCAGGAGAAGGCATTTGACAGAGTCGACAGACAATTATTTTGGAAAGTAATGGCAAGATATTGAGTAAGCGAACATCTCATCGAAGTGTGCAAAAGTTTCTACAAGGATTGTAGAAGTGTAGTTAGAATATATCAGGGAACATCTCATCCATTCACAGTAACATCTGGAGTAAGACAGGGGTGTGTCTTATCACCACTGCTGTTTATTACCTACATCGACATTATATGCAAGAATGCCAAGCCCATGAATGAAAATGTTAGTAAGATCAACGAATTACTCTTTGCAGATGACCAGGCCTTGATAGCAGATACAGCCATGAAATTACAACAACATCTAACATCCATGAATGAAGAATGTAAAACAAATAATATGAGAATCAACACTGAAAAGACAGAAGTAGTGTCAATAGGAAAAAAGAAGACAGATCTAAACATAGCAATAGAGTGCAAAGGCATTAAACAGGCATCTGAGTTTAAATATCTGGGAACTACATTTACCGAAGATGGGAAATTGGATAAAGAAATTAACATTAGATGCAGTAAAGCAAACCAAGTATTGGGACAGCTAGCTCACCTCTTACAGCATAAGACAATCCCAATCAGCACAAAGAGACATCTTATTCAAAGCATATTTATTCCAACTCTGTGCTACCAGTGCCAGACATGGTCAGTCACAACAAACCATAAAAGAAAATTAGTAACCACGGAAATGAGATGTCTGAGAAGGGCTGTAGGAGTGACCATAAGAGATAAGATCAGGAATGAGATCATAAGAGAAAAAGTCGGCACAGAACCAATTCTGGATTACATACGAAGACAGCAAGTGAAATGGTTTGCCCACTTAGAGAGAATGCCTTGTGACACCATACCATACAAAGCATACATGGAAAGAGAAGAAGGACGTAGAGCACGGGGTAGACCAAGAACAAGATGGAAGAATAACATCAGAGAAACTCTACAACAGCACGATGTGCCTATGGTCGAGGCGGCCAGAAGAGCTAGAAACAGAACCTTATATCTCCCTCGACACCCACAGCGGTAAAAGAGGAAGTGAAGAAGAAGAAGAAGAAGTTAAAGCATGCGCACACACACACATACATGTGCACACATGCACACACACACAAACACTTGTGCACACTCGCACACACACACTCATACACACAGAGAATGTGCAGTGACAAAGTTGTAGCTAACCTTTACGCACATACACAATTGTTCACTACCTGCACTGTCATTTGCTAGCAGTCAACCTGTGAGTTAGTTAGTGTACTGAACAACCATATGATAGATTGCAGCCAATAATGATGGAATATTGTTCAGTGACATTGTGGTTCAAGTCTGGCATTGCATGTGAAAACAATTAGGACGATTAATTCGGCTTTTAATAACATTCGAATGAACATCACACAATTAGAGTAGTACATTTTGTTTAAAAACAATAAAAATGCCCACATTTCAGTTGAATGTGAAAAACATTCCTTTAGGTCCACAACTAGGTCATTGATCATGTGCAGATGTTGATCTCACAGAACCATCATGTCACCACCTGGGAACTAATGGACAAGGTGGGAATAAGTGTTGGCAAAGTTCTCTCCATCTGACAGAAAATTTGTTTTTACATAATTGCCAGGAGATTTGCACCTAAGCTGTTAATTATGGAACAAAAACAACTCTATTTGACACTCACACACAACTGGTAGGAGTGTATAAATGATGACATGAATTTCATGAACATCGCCATCACTGGGGATCTGTCATTGGCTGCTGAGAATCCGCTGGAAACTACAAGTCATTAATTTAATTCATCATCCTGAGGTCAACGAAAACAAGATGAGTGCACAGAATTTCCATGTATAAGGCCATTTTTTAATGCCCATAGTGCGTCACAGGTATGACTACAAGGCCAAAATATTGTCAATGCTTACTATGATGTTTACTTCTTTCAGGCTTCCCTGAAATGCTTTTAGTATGATGGGATCAGTGAAGAAATTTGTGCAGCTAAGGGAGATTACATTTAAAGGGTTTAGGGTTTCAGACCTTAATAAGAGTAACTAAAATCACATATTGTGTGGACAGGTCTTGTAAAAATATACCTGTTGACAATATAATGTTACATGTTATGATATTTCAGTAAAAAAGTAAAAAAAAAAAAGCTAAAACAGGACCCTTTTCTACGCCTCCAGGCATATTGAGCACATAGAGCTAGACCTATATTTTATAGACCAGTTGGCACTCGGTTGGTGAAGTGATATTTCAGTATTCAGTATCAATAACAGAATGCATATCCTGATCTGTTTTATGTTTAAAACTCAATGATCTTATGGGTTAAGAATTTCTTATCACTTTATAATCTTAGTATAATCATGAAGTGACATTGGAGGAAGTCTGTTTCATGAATGCTTTATTTAAATAAAATGTGTGCAGGTGACAGGTCCTCAGTGTGATGACTGCCAGGTAGAAGTTGTTGAAGAGGAAGGTGAAATCCTTAGCTGGCAACAGAAGACACTTTCAGTAGCTTTTACACCTCTGAAACCAGTAAGTTTGCCTGCTACTGCTGGGATGTTATTTATTGTTTATTATAATTTTGGGTGTGTGCAAATGTTTGACATTGTGTGATAGAGATCTGTATTTGTCCTTTATTGATAACGCTAAAGCATTTGATAAAGTGAAACATGAAGAAATTATCAGAATTTTGGAAATGTTAAATATTGATGGTAAAGATCTGGGAATAATAAAAAATATATACTGGCAACAAGAGGCAGCCACAAGGATTGACAACCAATTTGGAACTTTGCAAAACATCAAACAAGGCCTTAGACAGGGATGTGTACTATCACCTGATTTATTCCATTTGTACACTGAAATAATAACTAGATCTTTACATGGTATGCCAGGAATAGTGGTTGGTGGGCATATTGTTAACAGCCTGCGATATGCTGACGATATAGTTTTGATAGCTGAAAATGAAACACAATTACAAGAATTGATGGATATAAATGTAATGGAAAGTGAAAACAAGCGTCTTAGTTTAAACAGCAGGAAAACAGAAGTAATGGTAATTACAATGAAACTGACCCTCCAAAATGTAACATCAAAGTAAATGGGACAAACCTCAAGCAAGTTGATATGTTTAAGTACTTGGGTACCCTGATAACATCAGATGGAAGATGTATTAAGAAAGTCAAATGTCGAATAGCTCAAGCAGAGGCAGCGTTTTACAAAATGAAGAATATTTTATGCAATCTTTCTTTGTCAGTTGAGACGAGAAATAGAATTCTTAAAAACTATATAAATCCTATATTGATATACTGAAGTGAATCATGTACAGCTAGTAAATTAGTAAAAACTTATTTGGAAGCTGCGGAGATGGGGGTTTTATTGATGAAAGATGAGAATATACTGGACAAAGAGAAAAAGGGTAATGGAGACATCTTGAAAAAAACTGACTCACAAAGAGAACTGATTGCCCAAATCAGAAAGAGACAATCTACATTCTTTGGTCATGTGATGAGAAGGAGAAAACTGGAGTACATCATGACAGTAGGAAAGTTGGAGGGGAGGAGAGGCAGAGAGAGACAGAGAAAACAGATGCTGGACAATTTGACATCATGGCATGAAGGATCATCTGTGTCAAATTTGATTCAAAGTACCTGAGACAGAAGGTTGTGGATAGGCATGACTGCTAACACCACGCAGAAGAAGAAGAGTGATGAAACGGGAAAGAACTTAAAGGTGGCAGATGTAATCTTTGAGAAGAATTTTGACAATATGGATGGCAAAGAAAACAATGCAATTTACACTTCTGCTAATTTTATAAAATTGTTGATTCGTAAAAACATTAAAAAATAAATAAACAATAAATGCAGTTTGTTAAACACATCAGCCAAAGCTGGGATTAAGAAAGAAAAAAAGGCAAGAGAAGACACGAAAGATAAAAATACATGTGGGAAAAGCTGAAACAGCTGGGGAAACAGATAATGCAGTAGGCAACAGTATCATCAAAATGTCACATTACAGAAGATTGGAAAGTAATGTTTGTGATGACTGATGTGTACTACAGATCTGGCATCTGAAGAATAAAAAGTATATTAACAGATGATTGTGTACTTTTACAAGACATTGCAGAACCAAACCCATAATTCATTTGCTGTTGTGGTTTCTCTAGATATATTTTGTTCAGGAATTAAATGTATATTAACTGAACACATTTGTATGAAATGATCAATTTTATTTTCTTATATAAATTAGCAGTGACCTTGCTGTGTCCTTGAAAAAACATCATTCTTAACTCTTCCAGTCCCACAAGGTTCTAGCTAATGTCCGAGAGAGTTAAGAATGGCAGTACTAAACTTATGGGTTTACTACTTCCAGAGGGGCCAAAGATACAATACTTGCCGGAAACAAAAAATGTTGTCAGAGTTGTTCAGAGCTCCTCACTAAACATAAGATGTAGAAACATAATAACTAGTTGAGTGGGGCTCGTAAATAATAAACACCCACGTACAGTGCATTGTTTGGGACATAAAGAGTTAAGAAATACAACTAACAGTTTCTTCGACTCAGACCAAACCAATCAACATTTAAGCAGTACAATCGCAGAGCTAAAAACGCGTCTTACAGTAATTAAAAAATTGTATGTAACAAAGTTACCTTTACTGATGAAAATGGTGACATTCATAATGAATCTGAGCCTCTTCATTTTGTGTTATAAATCTCTACAGGTGTCATTTTCTGATGTCATACTTCCATGTCGTATTGCTGGTCAAGATGAGGATATTTTTATTAGGATAAACTGTGAGGTCAAAACTCTGACTGTTTCATTCAAAATATCATCTGATGGTAGAGAATTTATGTAAGTAAGAACATTTGCCATTTATTCACTAAAACTACCAGATATTGGTAGCACCTCTGGTTGGGGAGCTTGTCATGTCCTTTTTAGGACAGCTTGATAACCTTTGGTCCAAAACTGACTCTCAGCTCACACCTGTGGCTCCACGTAGCTGTCAGCATGCGGCCACCTCGCCGAGCAACGGCTTTGATAGGCCGGCAAAACCAGGTGAGGGTAGCCGATGCTCCTTTCCATTGGTGAGTTAGGATCTGCCTATCCAAGCATGGAAAGACTATTAGCAGAATATGTGGAGGAAACCATAATTGGTTCAACGGGCAAGACGGCGACACTAGCAAAGCGCTGTGGAGCACATAGTGCATAGTGAGGCATGTAGAACGCCCTGGTCATCCACTGCACCTAGACATATCTCTAGTCGTCCTGACTCTTGTCTTGCCACTCGACCCAGAAATGACTTAGGCGACAGAGTGAGGTTGACGACACTGCACCTCTTCCTCACTTTAATCCAAGTCACCGAGCAAGTCACTCTTTCATCTTCATCACCGCATGGATGGAAAGCTGTTCAACCTCAGGAGGCTGAAAGCAAAAAGAAAAACTAAATCAGACACCATCAGGGAGCTCCTGTTTGCTGACGATTGTGCCCTTTATGCCAACACAGAAGCGATATGCAGCACAACATCGACAAATTCATTGATGCCTGTACAAACTTTGTGCTCACCATCAACAAAGACAAAACTATAGCCATGCACCAGCCAGCCCTAGGGCAAAGATACATCGATCCCAATATCACAGTGAATGGGCTACAGATTAAATGTTGTCAGTCAATTTACTTATCTAGGCAGCACCCTTTCACAGAGTGCCACAATTGATGATGAAGTAAATGCAAGGATCTCTAGGGCTAGCGTTGCCTTTGGCAGATTGTACAAAAATGTTTGGAACAGAAGTGGCATAACCCTGCAGTCAAAGCTTAAAGTATACAGAGCAGTTGTAATAACTACACTACTGTACGCATGCGAAAAATGGACTGTATACCAGCGCCAGGCTAGAAAGTTAAACCACTTTCACACAGTCTGCCTTAGAAAACTAATGCAGATCAGATGGCAAGACAAAGTACCTGATACCATAGTCCTTGAGCATCCATACTCTACTGATGCAGTATCAAATTTGTTGAGCTGGTCATGTGGCACACATGCCAGATCGCAGGCTCCCAAAAAAATTCTTCTATCGTGAGCTGCAAAATGGGAAACGTTCCCAGGGAGGGCAAAAGAAGCACTTTAAAGACACCATGAAGTCTTCACTCATTTGGGATGAATGACACCAATTGAGAGGCTGCCTCTCAAGACCAAAATGCATGGCGTTCAGCTCTACACAAGGGCGCGGCTACATGTCAAGCAAAAAGAACAGCAAGACTTATTAAGAAAAGGATGGACAGAAAGGCAACTGCAGGAGATCCCCTCCCTGGCACAACGCTCATTCCCTGTCCTCACTGTCCAAGAATTTTTCGGGCCCACGTAGGCCTCATCAGTCATCTTTGTACTCATACTTGATGATAAAGAGTGATCATCATCATCATCTTGATGGACAACTCACAAAACTACCAGATAACAGCTGTTATAGAGACATCTGTCAAGAACTTTTATAGTGAATTGTGGTGTGCGTCAGGGCTGGGTACTATCGCCTCTTCTTTTTATAACATACATAGATACTATATGTAGTGAAACAAACTCTAATCATGAAGAAGATATTACAGAATTACTATTCGCCGACGACCAGGTACTCGTAGCAGAAAAAATGGAATGCCTACAGAACCACCTAAATAAAATTAGTAACAAATGGGAGGAATATAAAATAAAAATAAACACTACGAATACAGAGACAATGATGATAGGTAGACATAAAGACAATTTAGTAATAGGATTAAAAAACAACACCCTGAGACAAACAGAGGAATTTTAGCATTTGGGAGCAATTTTCACATCCGACAGAAAACTGGACAGAGAAATTAGCTCGAGATGTGCCAAAGCTAATCAAGTAATGGGGCAACTATCTCCCCTGTTGACACACAAGCAGATACCTCGGAGTAATAAAGTGAATCTTATCAGAACTATTTTTTGGCCAACACTATGCTATCAATGCCAAACGTGGACACTTACATCTTCCAATGAACGTAAAATTGTGACAACAGAGATGAGCTACAGGAGTTTCAAGCATAGACAGAATATGAAATCATGAAATCAGACGAATGCTAGGAATAAAGCCAGTCTTACAGGTCATCAAAGAACAACAAATGAAGTGGTTTGGACACCTAACAAGAATGCCCTGGTACTATCTGCCAAAGCGAGCCACACTAAAATGTTACAACAGGTATAGAGCGAGTGGAAGACATCAGAAAATATGGAGTGATGGCATTAAGAACGGCCTTACAGAAATGAACATCAGTCTTAATTTAATCTTTTAGTGATCTCATTCCAAAATGGTTCACTGGGCTGTAAGGATGATTTGCTGACTGAACTAACTAACTATCATATTAACAAACAGGTAAGATTTGTAGAGAAGTGAGTAAAGTGAAATGGTTTTTACATGAACTCTCATGCTCCTTCATAAACACTGCCCAAAACAAATATACACAATTATTTATAAATAAAAATAGGCCACTTATTAATTTACACATACAGTTCGAATTGCACAGTAATTTTTGTTTCTTAAAAACTGTCAGAAAAATATTACATCGCCCCACCTTTTGATACCCCCCCTCCCCCTACCCCATAAAAAATGAAGCCTTTCTCAAGCACTAGATATCATGCAAACAAATTTATATACAAGTCAGAAAACAAATAATGTTGCAGCTTTCTTAAATTATGAAAGAAAAGCTCTAGAACAAGAGGTAATAACAGCAGTATTGTATGCTTCACAGAGGATACATTACAGATCAGTCCCCTATGACAGATTACGTGTTCATATAATGTCACACAAAGACAAAACAATCAGAAGCAATGATATTAGCCAATGCATAGTAGAATTTTGAGTGACAGACTGTTTTAAACAAAACAAAGAAACAGTCTGGCCATATAACAAGATTATCACACATCTGTTTTCCACAAAGCGATTTAATCAGCAACAATATCAGCATGGAAATCAGAAAATCAACAGTATTTAACAGTTAAAAAAACAACAACAGCTAATCAAATGGTCTAGCCATGTAACAAGATAAGCACAAGAAAGTGTCTCACAGATAGTTGTAACATTTAGGTGTGATAGAAACAACACAATAATTAGTACCCACAAATGATAGGCATCTGTGGCAGTTACTATACAATTTATGAAACAGACATCTGAGCTCTCACAAGTTGTTTATTATTAACTGGGCACTGAAAGAAGAAGTGGAAACGGAGGTTTCACATAAAGAAAGTAAAAAAGTAATAAAAACACATGCCCATAGCTGTAGGCATGAAGCAGTGATGTCAGCAATGTCCACCTGTTCTGTCATTGAGATAGTACACACACTTATGTTTTGTTGATTTTTCTTCATCCACTTGTAGAGATGACACGAAGCTGAACTTTGGAGACAAGGTTAGCATTGGCCAGACAGTGACAAGGTATGTGATGTTATGTAATCAGACAGCCATACCCTCAACGTTCTCTGTGAGAGTGGAGCACTTTGAGGCCGCCACAGCGCCACTTCCACCATGCAGTCAGATAGATACAGTTACCAGGTAATACCTTCTTTTTCAGCCAAAAGCATCTGATATCTTATGTTAATAGTTACAGCCTTTGTTATTCATTAATACTTTTGGTCCGGGCTCAGTTCCCCACTAGAGGCAGGATTTGTTTTTAAGCCAGTATGGCAGTGGGGTCAACCCATTCTCATAAAAATTGGTACGAAGCAGTTTTCAGAAGTCCTGACATTTCAAATTCATACTGCAGTAATTATTAAATCACTGCATTACTTGTAACGATTTTCGCTGCCATTATTATACATTACTCTGAAACCTAATATAATATGTAGGTTGTTCTTATAAGGATAAGGGGTCGTCTTCTATCAGATTCTACAGTTGGGCAGTAAAGTGATAACACTTCGCATATTCCAGGCCATGAAAAAAAAATGAGACTAGAGCAAATATGAGGTTACCCATTTGAGGTTAAATTAAAACTGACTACTACCCAACATATGAGGTAGATTGCCAGTTCCCTTTCTTGTAGTATTTCCTCTGTAGACAAGTCTCAGAAAATGTTTCATGCAGCAGATGCTGAATGCCTCTGTTAGTTAATTTTGCTTGGTCTTCAGTCCAGTCTTTGGTCTATTGAACATTTTATTTTCGCTCTAGTTCTTTTCAGACCCACCAGGTCTTGAATTGTCATGTTTATTTTGGTAACTAATGCTATGCAAACATGTTACGAACATTTAAATCATTGCTGCACTATTCTATTTTATTCTAGCTTTATGGGACAGATTTTGAGGTGTGTTATCTTTTCTGGGATCATCCCTTAGTATCAGGCAGGAAACAGCTGTTGTGCAGTGATTGATTAGACCTCGGATGTGTGAGGCTATTCTCTGACCCCTTTGTCGTCTGCTCCTCATTTAACCAATTCAGAATGAAATTATTTTACACTGTGGCCAACATTATTTTATACCTGACAATTTACTGTTGGCTTAATTTACATTTGCAGTACTACTGCACTAAATGATAATTTAATTAGAACACATTAACCCCTGTTAGTTGTGCATCCTTTACAGGACTTCACAGAAACAAGCTCAGCATTTTTTGGCCGTTGTGGTTTTTCTAGGCAAATTATATAATCAGTAGTTTTCCATTGCTTCCTGAACGATCAGCTCTCAATACCACTCTTGTAATCAGTGCAAGACAAATTATCCGCAGCTGGGATAGAACTTGCACCCCGGCATTACAAAGCACATCGCAATTCATAAGCCACAAAATATAAATTGTCATTCTATTTTGTTTGTGTTTCAAATGTTCTATTTAAATCAAAACTAAATTTAAAAATCAGAAATGTTCTCGTGTTGAAATAGTTAAGAAAATTTTCAAATGAATTTTCTACTCACCTAAGGCTTTTAATTATTTTTCTTATGACAATGATGAAGATAAAGTTGAGGGTAACTGGGAAAATAAATACATTAGTTAGAATGAGGGGCAGATGAAGAACATGGGGTTTCATAGCAAAAGAGAATGGACGTCGCTGGGTGCCGCAAAACCCGGCATATGACATTAGGTTGTGAATGAAGTGGAGGCAGTCACTGCTGCCTTCCACTGGCTTGAGAATCGGCTGTATACACATGCCGTGATTGTATCTGACTTACAGAGCATGTTGAGAAAGGTGGAGACAGGCATGATTAGTGCAGAGTGGCAAGCATCAATTGGAAGTCCCGGGTAGTTAGCATCTTTTAGATATTTTCTCTGGGTGATGCAGGTGTGTTGAGAAACGAGCAGGCAGATAGACTGGCTGGCTCTGCACCACTTGGTGGTGAACTGATGTAGGACAAGCTGGATGTTGTGAGGGTTCTTTGGCAAAGAGTGAACAGTGCGGAGACGCAGATAGATCATTCTGGACTGGGAAGAATGGCACTGCAGGGAGTTACATGGGGATCTGGCCAGCGCTCAACACTCAGGGGAAAGGCGAGACTGATATACAATCAGACAGTTACTGGTGCCATCGGGATTGAAGCTCTTGCTGCTAAAGATGGGGACGCAGCCCTTATGGGGGTGTCCCGAGTGCTGTAATGTCAAACTAAACATTTTATTAACATGTTTTGTCTACATATAAAATGTACACATTTTATAGCATGCTTTGTGTACCTATGTATATTTTTAACTTATTTGATATACATATAAGGCAGACTACACATCTTGTTAAAATATGCCAGTACATATCTTTGGCACCAAGCCAAAGTCACATTTGTCAGAACTGCTGCATTTTGTGAAACTGTTTTCTCTACATTTAAGACATACTACACACTTTCTTTTGAGTGATACATTTACCCATAAAACAAAACAAAACATATGACTTTTAAAAATAAAAATAAAAACAAAGTTGTGTGTATTCTAAAAAAAAAAAAATGTTGCAGCCAAAAGAAAAATCTTCTCAGCCAGACTTCAACTTTTGGCAAAACTCTGTGTAGGAAGAGTACAGGACAAATGATCCAAGGTATGATTACTGCAATAGATGTTGTATGTGTCTTACTTACTGATCATAGTTGGGATTTTGTTGACTCTGTCACAACAGTCACCCATGCTGACAGTGTCAGGTGTCAGACTTAACAACATTGCATGTGTCAGCTCATACCCAACAGTCACCTTTCATTTATTTACGTTGTACCTAAATAAACCACTGACAGTTTGCTTCTGATATTTGCATTTCTTTGGTTAGCAGCCTGTTGTGTGTTATTGGCTCTGACTCATGAATCCCAACCATCACACCATGTATTCTATAACTTGTTGCTTTGGCTTCACCATACTAGAGAAATGTGGCTTTCACAGTGGTCGCTTTTGCTTTCAATCTGCAGATCAAAAGTTATAACTTTCATTTTTCATAGTAAATTTCCCTTAAAGGGCTGTGTCAGCTGTGATGATCTCTTGTATTGAACAAGTTAACTCAAGTTTTTCACGACATAGTTGTCCACACATGTTTATTTATACCATGTGAATGTTATGGGACTCAGTAGTTAAACAATATTATGTCTATGAAGCAAATTTCTCACCTGGAGACAAATAATGAATACTCAGAATAAGATCAGTGATGTAACTAATTTGTCTGAGTATTTTTGTGCTTTTTTTTTTCAGTATCACCTTATAACATGCCATTCTGTATTTTACATTCTCTTTAGCTATCTTTGTTGTCATTATTATTGCCACTTGTCAGTCACTGGGGACTTGCCTTTCTGTCTATACCTCTGATATTATTTTCTCATCAACTTAACCCAATTTTCTCTGCCTTTAATTTTGTCTGCTTATCAAGCCTGTCTTTGGTAATGACAATGTCAGGCAAGTTCTCCTAAAGAACTTTAAAATTTTTCAAACTTTCTCTTTAGTTTCATGAAGCCTGGACGTGTATGTTGATTCATTGGGCCAGTAATTCTATCTTAGCTTAATACAGATGACAGACCTACAGAACATGTTCAGCAAGTAATTCGCTAGGTCTGTAAGTGCATAGAGGTGAAGCAGTAAGATGTAGCTTATGCTTGCATATGTTCAGTCTGCTCTATCCTGTCCATGTACAGACTAAATGAAGATCTGCCTCTGCCAGTCATGACTGCAATGGTATTTTTTTAATTTCTGAAAGCTGGATTGTCCTCAGTTTCTCAAATTATAAGACTTTATTCTTCTTGTATGTCTGTGTGTGTTTGTGTGTGTGTGTGTGCGTGTGCGTGTGTGTGTGTGTGTGTGTAGGTAGGTAGGTAGTTGAGTAGGTAGGTAGTTAGGTTGAATGTTGAATTAAGAATCAACATCAAAGCTCTCTGGACACCCCCATAAGCACTGCGTCCCCATCTTCAGCAGCAAGCAAAGAGTTTAAATTCAGATATTACCAGTAACTGTCTGATTGTATATCTGTCTCGCCTTTCCCCTACCCTACGTGTTGAGCGTCTGCCAGATCCCCTTGTTACTCAATCTATGAATGAATGTATGCATGTCTGTCTGTCTGTCTGTCTGTCTGTCTGTCTGTCTGTCTGTCTGTCTGTCTGTCTGTCTGTCTGTCTGTCTGTCTGTCTGTCTGTCTGTCTGTCTGTCTGTCTGTCTGTCTGTCTGCCTGCCTGCCTGCCTGCCTGCCTGCCTGCCTGCCTGCCTGCCTGCCTGCCTGCCTGCCTGCCTGCCTGCCTGCCTGCCTGCCTGCCTGCCTGCCTGCCTGCCTGCCTGCCTGCCTGCCTGCCTGTCTGTCTGTCTGTGCGTGCGTGCATGCATGCGTGCATGTGTGTGTGTGTGTGTGCGTGTGTGTATGTGCGTACATGTGTATGTGTGTGTATGTATGTGTGTGTATTTGTGTGTATGTATGTATATATGTGTGTGTATGTGTGTATATGTATGTATATATGTGTGTGCGTGTGTGTGCGTGCATATGCAGTGTATGCAGTGTATGTATGTATGTATGTATGTGTCCTGTCCAGAGAAACAGACTAAATGAAGATATGCCTTTGCCTGTCATGACTGCAATGGTATTTGTGGGGTTTATGCAGTGTATGTATGTATGTAAGTATGTTTGTGTGTGCGTATGTGCGTGCGTGCGTTATTTCGTCAATGTATATTTTTATATTGACATAAAATGCATTATTGATAACATGCATTTGTTGTCTGAAAGATGACTGCTTGGAAGGACCCAATGTTAGACTAACCTGCGTGTCCAATTTGTAACCCTTTAAAAATAAAGTTTCCTTGTTCTATCTATATCTATTTGTCTGTCCATCCGTCCATCTGTTCATCCATCCATCTGTCTGTCTGTCAGTCTGTGTTGTGTTTGTGTCTATTGGACGTATCTCTGAATAGGTGTTGTGTTTGTAAGAGTACATATACCTGTATATGTTGTATTGGTGTGTGTTGTTTGTATGTGTGTATGTCATGTATTTGATTAAACTGTCCCTTTTTTGTCTGGTATGTGTGTTGAGTCTGTGTGTATGTGTTCTATGTGTGATTATGTGTATGCCTTTTTGTGTTGTGTACTTCTGGGTGTATAAGGGTGGTATGTGTGTATGCCTGTGTGTGTCTGTGATGTGTGAATATTTTTGTTTGTATATTTGAAGATATGCATTTGTCATCCATGCTTTGTATTTTATTAACATTTTACAGTGAATGTTGATATATGAACATAATTTGCTTGATATATCAAATCCAGTTGTCGTATGAAAGATGAATGCTTTGAAGGTCTGAATGCTAAAATGGGCCTGCGTGCCCAATTTGTAACCCTTTGGAAATAAATTTAATTTGTTTGTTCTTATTCACATACTCTGCCCTCATTTCCATCATTTCCGCAATGGATGGTATCATCTGCAGTATGGTTCACTTTCTGGATTCAGCTTTGTTTAGATTTTTCAACTGTGGGTGTTTTAAGAGCTTGTAGTACAAACAGTACATTATCATAGGTAGACTCATAGGTGGCAGTCAGAGTTTATATTATCTATCACATATTTGATCAAAGGTTGAATTTTAACTGTATAGTTAAAACTGGATTTAGCACTGGGACTATACCTGGTCTCACAGTGATCGTTAGGGTATGAAACACAGGTGCCAGCCCAACTGTTAGCCCCATACATCTGTTACTGTAACTTGCACCATCCTAAGACATTGCTACTTTAACCCTATTATACCTGAAGCTCTGAACCTAACTGCCCCCTATTCCTGAGCTCCTGGGCATTAACATGAAAAAAACCAACATGATATACAAAAGTATTAGTTAACTGCAAACAAGTGGTTAGTATAAGATGAAACTGGGAGACCTTGTAGAAAATATGTTTACCTTTCATCTAGCGCCAATATTCCACCTTTATGTGCCAGTCCACCCAGCAGGATGAGCCTTGTTTCACAAAGTGAGCACCAGATGTTGCAGTTTGAGGGACAGTCTAACTATCGATCTAGTTCTAGATCTATAAGGTTCAAGATTCTCCTCATTGCTCGATGTCTCAATGTCTGTGTCACTTAACTGGGAACGTGTATTGATGAAATTCTGACTCCTCAGAGTCTAAATCAACCAAAGTCTCAATTGCCTGTTGGACTGTGAAAAGCCTAGACCTACTTCACTTCCCTGTCGAATGCTTGGTTCATCATCCTCTCGTTTCATTGTGAATGTTTAGAATTTTTTTTACGTTAAACCACACAAAGTAGATCCAAACACATGTGGGCAGCCATTTTCATTCACTAACTATGATGTTTGATCACGATTGGTTGGTAATTTTTAGTTTGTGATGTATTTTAGCATGTAGTACACAAAGTACCGAAAATTACAGCAGTTTAGGGGCAGACTAGGAAATTACTAGAAAAATGGTACAGCGGCCTGGAAGAGTTAAATAACAAGTGTTTGGTTGTACAGGGTTTACAAAAATAAAATTAAAGGGATAACTGGATGAAACAGGATGAATTAGAAAATAGTATGCATTTTAGTTTTCCAGAATTTCCAGATCTTTTGTTTTAGTGGAAGCATCTAAACTCATAATACTAACATCTTTTTCTTGTCATTTCTCTCATGCAGTAGGATAGAGTGATATTTATAGGCTGCATTATCCACCAAGTGCTATACAGTTTTACAAATATGTCTGTGCTGTCTCCACAATGAAGGTAGGCTACTGTGTACCACTGTAATCTTTGGGAATATTACGTGGAGAGGCCTCAATCTCTTCCACAGTAAATTTCTCTTACCACTATGGGAAAGTCACGAGAACTGATTTTTTTCCATTCACCATGGGAAATGAACCCTGCACACAAGGATCAGGAAATCGTTAACCACAGTCGGTAACCTTTAAGCCACAGAGCTGCTACACCATTATGTAATTCTAATTCATAATGTTTTGTGTGTGTGGACAGATTACAATCAAGAGATCTTGGGTGAAGGAAAAGGTCTGGCATTTGTAGTTCATCCTTCACAAGAACACCTGCAGCCTTATGGTTCACATATTATTGAGATCTCAGCTCACAACAACATGTGGGGACTTTATCGTGACAATTTGATTTTTCAGGTATATTTTCCCATGACACACAGTCATTCTCTTCGAGCCTTATTATTTGAATTTTAATGTATGAGTTTTTCTCAAATGAATTGTTTTTGTCAGTTTGTGCTCCCAAATAAAGTATCTTATATTTTAGAATAGATTTCTCAGCTTTCCGTTAATCCAGAAAATAAAACATTAAATGTGCTGTAAAGTAAAATTGTGGTATGTGGTCTGGGTCCCTGAGTCCCAGGGGTTTAGCAGCAGAGGCCCAATAGGTGGTAATGCAATTTTATAATTTCACAAGTGTTACACATTAAAACAGACCATACTAATTCAACTGTGTGCAACATACACATATTTTACATCAAGGTGATCAGGAATTGTTGAGGAATAATATTACTGTTGCAAAAATAAATTGTGTTAGTAGTTAATTATTGATTAAAAAAATATGGTATATTTAGACAAATTAGTAAAATGAAATAATAAGCTTTCCAAGTTTTCCACTAACCACCATGGCACTCCAGAATGAATCACAAATGAACATGAACCACTTAGTAATGTATAAATAAAATGTTAACACAATCTGTCTATAAGATATTGTTCCAGAGAAACCTTTAGAAAATCATAACAAAGCACTATTTTTTGGTAAAGAAAAATGACCCCTGAAAACAATTAGTATTTTCACAAAAATATTAACTTTATATAACACTCAATTTGCCTGTAATATTATAACCTGTGTTCCCAAATAATAAGGCACAGGTATAACACATTTATGTCACTCGGATGACCAAAAATGAAGAAGAATGTAATGGTTGAATAGACTGAGAGACCTATGCGACATAAGATATCATAACAAGATGATGAACATTAAATAAAATTTACCTTGATGATCATTTGAACACATAACCACCAGACTAAGAGGCAAGTATGATAGCCACTGCACTGCCATGCTCCCTAAAATGTATTACACAGATATATTTTGGCTGACATAGTCTGCCTCAGAACAACAATTCTAAGATTACCTTTGCCTCCCTTCCTTTATGCTGACGTTTCTCTGACTTTTTGTGGTGACTGAATAACCACCTGGAGGGGAAATATGATCATGGTCAACTCTGATTTGATGACCTTGACATAGACAGTCAAGCTATTGGTAGCTGTCTGAATTCATCTGTTTGTTTACATTCTCAGTATAATTAGGAAATAAGAATGGTTACAAATGTCTCCAATGACTTCAAGTGAAAACCAAGTACAGTAGACTTTATTGTGTCCAATGTAGAGGATAGAAAATATAGAGAAATTAGTGGATGCTGTAGATAATGACCCATATATATCAACTGATAACTAAGGTGCAATATACTGCAGTGTATAACATGTTCCCTGTGTGGATTCCGGGGATTCTGGGAAAAATAAGAATAAACCCACTGCCTTCCCAGTTTGTCATAAGAGTCAACAAACTGGGGACTTCCTTAGAAGTTGGAATACATCTGCCTGAGAAGCAAGGAACCAGGAGTCTGCATGTGAGTAAGCCAGATATGTGAAACAGATGTGGGCTCTCCTGTCAAATCCGGACGAAGAATAAAAAGCCTTGGACGACTTAGTCAGAGTTCTCTCCCTTGGCCGCACTGCAAACAGTGATCGGAAAAGCCAACGAAACAAACGACACACTTACCTATCATCATACGGTTGCGTGTAGGGCTGCGTACGGTTGCGTGAGGCATCGTGAATGGTTGTGTAGTCATCATGCGGTTGTTGGGTTAGAGTTAGGGGTAGGGTTATGGTTAGGGGTAGGGTTAGGGTTAGGGTTAGGGTTAGATTTGAAAATTTTGACGTAGGGTTTCGAAATACTGGCCGACAATCTGATGTTTGTGGGCGTGGCGCCACTGAAATTCTCTAAATATGACGCCAATAGTGTGCGGCTGGTGCCCAATCGTTGGCGAATTGTGCGTTTGACCAGCATCCAGAGGCCCTCAATTGTTTGTGTGTGTATGTGACTGTGTACGGCGTCGACGAAGTTGGTCTGATGGACTACTACCTCGTGCAGATAGATGCCATGCCGTAAGTTTGCCACGTTGCTGTAGCCTCGCCAAGCGTCAGTCACGATAGTCGTTCCCGGCAACTAAGTCGTGCGTCGGAAGAACGATGTTAGTTATGTGAGTGTATCTAACTGCCATGTTGCTTGTGTCGTTTGTTTCGTTGGCTTTTCCGATCACTGTTTGCATTGCGGCCAAGGGAGAGAACTCTGACTAAGTCGTCCAAGGCTTTTTATTCTTCGTCCGGATTTGACAGGAGTACCCAGATGTGCATACAACACTCACATTCTGGAACAAGACTATATTTTGGAGGTGGACGAACTCTGTGAACTTTCTGCTGGAGTTTATGGCCAGTGAACATCAGGAAGAAGAAAAGGAAGAAGTGTCTCGTGTAGAAAATAAACAAGAAAGTGCGATAACAGGATGCCACTGATAATGAAAAAGAAGGAAAATATCTGTGTTCATACATCTGTACATGCTTATTTTGTACATTGCTTCCTTCGCTCAGTATTTTTATGTAAAGTACTGTCTTTGGTGCATCGTCACTTGTCAGAATGTGACCAGAACATAAGAACTTAACTGTGCTCTTATTTTAATAAATCTCCTTTGTTCTATTACATTTTCTTAACCTTGTTTATTTATCAAAATGTCATGAGCATATACTTATCATTATTTAATAATAATTGGTGTAACAACAGTAAATGTCAGGGACAAAACCCTGCAACGGCAGAGGATCACATCCCGACCACAGGGGAGCAATTGAACTTGTTACTATTCACTGTGGTTCCTCATCATAGACCTTCTTGTTTTAATTTCCATTTGACCTATTTCATGTTTTTTTTCTAAGAAATCAACGAGTATGTTTATATCTATTTTATACTAAATTCTCTTAGGGGTAACCTCTCTGCTATCTGATGATTTTGATGTAATTTTTTTTCTAGGCAGCAGAAAAAAAGAGGAAGAGGAAGCAGGAATTGAGGCAGAGCAAGAAGAGGAGACAGTAGAGCTAAACAGTATCATCAGGAAGAGTAGTATTTTGGCCACAACAATGTGGACATAATAATTATTGTAACGTAATTATACTTATATCTTTTTGTGTTGTTTTGTGACAGGTGGGAGATCTTCCAGAAATGAAGATACCAATGGACATAAATATCATTGGCTGTCCACTGAGTTTTCTGTTGACTGGTGGTTTACATGGAGAAGAGACTACAGTGAGGTCATTACACTTGTGTTTAATTTGTGCTGTTTTCGTTTTTATGAATGAAATTGAGCAATTTTCGGTTTAACCCTTTGAGTACATAATAACTTATGTCATAGTTGCTATCTCAGTGGATTTGATGGCTATACCTGCCTTTTGACTTTCTGTGACCACTATCAAGTGGTTATGACAAGTTACAGGCTTGCTGTTTGCACTTTTGTGTTCATTTTCTCTGACCTTTTGTGTTCATTTTCTCTGACCTTTTGTGTTCATTTTCTCTAGTTGGTAAAAAGCACTCTTCAATAGTATTCAGGTGTTTTAGTATTTGTTTTGCATGCTGCAAGTAATTTACTGTAACACTGGATATATCTCCACCCTATGTGCACTGGACATACTACTTCTTCTTCAGCATTTCAAGCCCATGAGATTCATTAATGCATTTTCCCCCACCTCTATCATTTCTTTGTGGCCGAGCGGCTAGACGCTGGTCGCGGATTGGAAGGTCATGGGTTCGCTCCCTGGCGGAGCCGGACTTTTTTCAAAAAATGACCTTGGCTCCCAGGTCAACCCAGCCTTGAGTGGGTATCGGGTGCAGTCCCGGGAAAGTAAGGGCGGCCAGCGTGATGCTGACCACATCACCCATCTTGTGCCGATAGGTCTATAAAAATATAGGTCTAGCCCTATATGCCCTATACGCCTGATGGCGTGGAAAAGGGTCCTTGACTTTACTTTACTTACTATCATTTCTTTGATTGGTCTTCTAGTTCCACTTGTTCACTCAAAGCATTTTTAGGTCTTTCTGTAATTTAATATATCTCCATGATCTTTTTGTTCTGCCTCAGAGTTTACTCCCATTCAACTCTTTTATGGGCACATATTTTTTTCTGTCTATTAAACGTTACTATTTCTATGTGCCTCAGCCATCACAGTCTATTAACTCTCATGTTGTCAGTGGTGGTGATTTAAACAGTTTATGAATTTTGTTGTTGTTTCTCACTCTTCATTATCAGATTTTCATCACTAATGGGCCCAAAGATTTGCCCCAAGACTGTTCTCAAAAGTTTGTTATAAAGCTTCATCAACTTTATCTTCTGTTGATGCATTAACCACTGTCTGCTTCATTTTTAAATGTTACAGCTTTCAGATTATGTTCATCTCATGACTGATAAAACTAGACTTGATAATAATGTAATTCTTTACATAAGATGATTATTACTCCCACAACACCAAGCAACGTTTAGTTTAATCATTTGAAACTGTTACATCTCATCCACAGCTCCACTTCTATATCTTCTGTTGTTCCCCCCTCTTTTCCTGTATCTCTCTTATGTACAATAATGTGCTACCCTTTCACTTCCTATCTTTTATTTGTATTATGTACTATTAACTCGGTCAAACATCCTGAAAAGCTCAACTGTAATGAAAATTCAATTTATTTATCTATGATTAATCAGCTTGGTGCCATCTAAAATGCCCTGATGGTTCGGTATTCCATGAGGAAGCCCAGTGAGCAATGTTAAAAAAAAAAAATAGTTCTCTGTTAGATAATGCTGTTTGTGTGTGACAGACATGTTAGACATTTACATGCTCTAAGCCACAACATAATGAGATTGACACATCATTTCTCGCTGTGTTTCCATCTCTGACAAGGTCTTGCACTGCTATCTAATACCAATTTTTGTAGAATGGGTAAGGTATCATACTGCTTCTGGGTATTGACCTACATACAGGGCTGTTGGTAAGTATTCACATTATCCACTGTGCTATCATGGCATAATTATAATAATTACATTCTTCCACCATGACCATTTCTCTTCCAGATTTGGCAGTCATATTGCAGGTTCTGGTCCCATTACACGGAAACTCAGGATTAAAAACTCCAGCCCTGTTGGTGAGTATATAGCATGAGGATATTAACCCTACATGTTTTTTTTAATAGCACATAATCTTTATTTTAACTTCTGAAATTGATGAGAAAAGGCGTTACACAATGTGTTATCTACTCATATGGGTATTGCAAGGCTTCTTGGTGTAGAAGAATAAGTTAACCTTGTAATCCTTTATACCCTAAGAAGTATTTCTTTGTTTGTTGTTGTTGTTGTTGTTGCAGGTACTTGGTCTGGAGACAACATTGGTAATCATAAAACTCTAGTCTTATCTATCACTTTTCATGGTTGCTGTTTAAGCAGCAGACAAACAGTCTGCTTTTGCAAATGACCTTAATCTTTGTCTCACTAGCAACTTTTGTCATCACAAATACCTTAGCTGTTTTATTAGTTTTAGTGATAAGTTGGTGTAATCATTTTCCTGTTCTTTCTTTTATGGCTTGGTCATCTGCAAGCTTGATGGCATTGTTTTTCCCAATATTTGTTAATCCCATGTGACCCTCCTCTCCCCTTTTCCCACGTCAGTTCATCCAGTACCCCCCCCCCCTTTCCACCCCCCTTCCCTCCCCCCCGACCCCCCCAAAGTAATATTCTTTAATTAGCGTCTTTTTTCAAGCTTCCTAATATAATCATACAAGGTTTCAAGTTTCCACTTTTCATTTTATTGTGTATCATTTCCTTCCATTTTATAAAGGCCCAACATTTAAAAATTATCTTTAACAAAATTAAAATCTGAGCAATGAAAAGAAACATTACCTGCTTATGTGAAACCACTGGTGAATGTCCTACTACAAAAGTACATCATAAATTTGAGCTGAGTTGAGGCTCCCTCTTCATCTTCTAACATAACTTTGAAATGAATAATAATGGGTGGATATCACAGAAAAACAAAGCCAAAATAACAGACATCCTGAACAAAACTGCTTGAGAAGAGAATTACTAAATGAAGTCAAAGTTGAAAAACTAAAATATGTTGGCACAGAGCAAAACATAATCAGCTGACTAGCATGCATGCTAGAAAAGTAGAAGAGAATGAAGCAAGAGGAAGACAATGGTTACAATGAGAGAACAATGACAACAGATGGACTAGAACACACTTGTTAAACGTGACCATCATAACAAGAGCCAGAAAATCACAGCCATTCTTGCAGCCAACTTTGAATGTGAAAATCTGAGATCCTACCTTTGACAATGGTCTTAGATTTGACAAAAAAGGGCAGTACATGTAATTGTAAAAAAAAAAAAATTACATTCCAGTCTATCTCTACACACTGTGGTGGAAGAGTATAGACGGGAACACAGATTGTAAATCAGTGTTTATCTCTGTAAGTATGTAATATTGCATGACATATAACTTTCTAAGACTGTATCTGGAACCCATTTAAGTCTTGGTTGACCTGGTAGCCAAGGTCATGTTAAAAGAAATCTGACTCCATGCCGGTTTGAACCCTTGATCTTCGGATCCACGGCGAATGTCAAGCCACTACACCATAACAACTCCCAATACAGACAGTATTAAGGGCATGTCTTATTAGCACGCTCAGAATGTTGGTAAATAATGATGTTATTATACTGCATGAAATCTTAGAGAACTCAGTTTATTATGCTTTTCTCCATATACAGACATTAGAGTAGATTGGCTAGTGTATACATATGAGGATGATACAAGCAAGCTGGTTGATTTCATCACATTCTATGGTAGAGCATTCCCACAGAATGAAGTGTTTTTAAGTGAAGCTAATGATGCTGAAGAATCAGGTTGGTTGTTATTTGTTTCTGTTGCTGGTTAAATGGCACTAGCATTGTCATCTTCAAAACACAGTAGCTTGCACCATTGGAGGTTGATGTCTGTTTTACTTCTTCTAATAAAAAAATAGTTTTATTAATAAAATTATAAACAAAATGTGTACATCTAATAACCCAATATTTGTATTATAGTGGCAAAATATGCGAGAGGAGGTTATATATGCTAAACAGTACTGGTGAGCTGAAAGCCGACTCTTAAGATTTACCATGAAGTTTGCTTAGAGACTCATTGCAGAGGACCTTCAATACAGATATGGAAATTAATGATTATAAAAAATATTATTTTGCGTGAAATCTGGACTACTGTCTTGACAGGCAGGCACACTAATTACAATGCCACCACAGCTCTATATGTATATACAATGATATCACCACATGTAACATACATATGTGTACAAACAAACATTCACAGACACAAATGTGTCAGTATCATTGTCTATTCACTCTTCATTAATACTAACTAGGTTAACAAATATTGAGTCACCACTCTCAACCTAATTAACTCTTTGAGTCCCAGGGAGTTTAGCATCACAGGCCCAATGGGTAGTAAAGAGAGACTAAAATCAACACACCATGCGTTCATTGGGCTTCTAGGTAAGAACCTATGAATGTATGATGCGTTCCCTGGGACTCAAAGAGTTAAAAAACAAAAGACAGAAAATTCATAATTAAAAATAAAAGACTGTTTTTTTTTATCTGAACTAAAGTATTTCTGTTGTTTTGATTTTTTGTAAAGACTAGTGATAATGTTCCCTTGATGTCTGGTATTTTCTTCACCAGGCTTCTTATTTAAAAAAAAAACATGCATTTGACCATTATTATAGAAAGGTTAATCTCAGTGTATCTTTGAATTCTGTTAAAATTTAGGTACAAGTGATAAATTTTCTTCAGACAAAATATAATTTGCAAAAAACGCTATTTGTTCAGTACGATAAAGATATGAAGTATTGATGAATGCATCAGTGGAATTGGTAAAATGACAGCAATATATTTGCCACAGGAGTGTCATTGTTCTACTTGAAGGAATGGAGACAGTTATTCTACCTGGAAGCAGCTCTATTAAAAGACCAGTTTTATGTAAATGCCAACAAACTCAGGTTCACTGCTGCTTCCATTAAAAATATTTAGGTTCTTATGTGAAGGTGTACAAATAAGAAGTTTGTTTATTTGTTGTCATAGAGACAAAATGTGAGACTGCTTACTGGTCGAGCATGCTTGAGAAATAATGACCTCATCGCCCATCTAGAATCAGTTGGTCTGTAAAAAATATGGGCCTTATGCAGCAATGATGTAATATGATCTTTTACTTTATGGGTTTGAAATGTTCTCACAGGTTTGGCAATAGTAGATATGGCTTTAAAAAACTTGTTTATTCCTACACTTGAAGTGCAAGAACAATAATGAAATAATCTGATATATTAAAAGAATTTTAAAATTGACTAATATTATTCGTTTTTTAATGTATCTTTCAGCTTCCGACAATCTTAGAGAAGTAACGAGTTCAGGTATATTATTATTTTTGTATGTGTGTAAAACATATTTTATTTTTCAAAGCAATCTTTTCCCGTTGTAAATTTAAGTAATGAGGACACAAACAATACATTATACAACTTATTACCTGGCATATTTCACTGTATCTCATCAAGTGCGTTACTACAGAGTTAAATCAACATATAATGAAGCACAAATTGAAGCTTTTTCTTGCTGAAATGCATAAACCACATTGTCAAGTTGCATAGATCTATCCTCCAGAAAATCAAAATGAAAATCAGTCAAGTGAATACCATGGTATCTTCAAAATGATCATGTGATCCTTCTGTTTACCTAACATAGGAGAGTAAAGTTTTGTTGATACAGCCTCAATCACTTTTAGCAAACATCTGTTCAGTGTGTGGTAAATAACCCTGAAAGCATAATTTGGATCAACTGCATGTCCAGAGTCAAGCAAATGACATTCTGTTGAAGAATCAGGTTCTCTCTTCTTGGCTGATCTTGATACAGAATCTTCACTCAGTTGTGTGTGTGGAGCCATTTAAGGATGTGTTCTGCCACTCTGTTTTCAAGCTGTCTCTTTGTTCAACCGATATATTTTCTTTTGCAAAGTTAAATCATCCTAAAGAATTGCTTAGCTGTAAGGAGTGTGTTTCTTCATTAAAACAAGCAAGCTGAAAACAACAACTAAAGGTAGTTAGTTAGTTAGTCAGTTAGTTAGTGGGGTTAACATCATTGCACTCAGGACATGTCCATAGGTGCTCAGATCCTTCCCTCAGTATCAACCCAGCATCCGGTGGTTAATTGTATTAGTTCTATTTTGATTAACAAGTTCTCTGATGTGCCTTGTGTGCGTCTCATTTTTTGCTTTTCCTCTGTCATTCTGGCAAGTGATGTGAATTCACTGTCCCCAAAGTCCTCCACCCTTCCCATTTCTCAGAGGGCAACAATACTATCAGCATGATCCATAGGTTGACCGCAGTAGTGATAGCAGATTTAGCCAGCCTATCAGCTCTTTCAATTTCATCGACACCCAGACATCTCCTGGAACAAAAATAAAAGTGACTGCATGCACAGTGGACTTCTGTAATGACTTAGGCAACTGACTTCACACAGAATCTACCTGAACCCTCTGGATCATACTTTTTGAATAACTGAGCACACATGTACGGGTGTAGTTTTGTATTTGAGCCACTTGAATGCTTACATTACTGCTATCACCTCCATCATCATGCTGCTGGCTTTCATGGAGAAGGTGCCGTTGGTTTCTTTGATTGTTCTGCCCAACGAGCATTGCTGTGAACACCCATGCACTTCTTTGCTGGTGCATAATGGATCCGCCTGTTTAGATCAGTACATCTGCCTCATCTGAATTTTCACTGATTAGAGAATTGACCTCTGCATTGACAGCAACAGGATTCTACTTCTGCATCACTTATCGAGTGTGGCAATACAGGAAAATTTACAAATAAATGCATGAGGAATGGGTATCCACTATGCACCGGGGGTGTTGTCACTAAAGGCATGTTCACTTTATGCCTATTTATAGGCTGAGCTCATATTCTGTACTTTATCTCCTTTTAATTGCACAGCAATAAATCTGAAAGTAATTATTTATAGATTTACATTTAAAGTTTGCTTCAAATGATGACTGTTTAGTCATTAGTGTATTTTAAACACTAAGTATTAGCTTATGTAAACAGTTATTTTAAGAAGAAGAGGTTTATTTTGTCATGTGTGGGTGTTTCCAGAAGTAAAGGCATCAGATATGATGTTAACCCTGTGCCTGATCAAGTGCTATTTGGTCAAAGAATGAAGGGTCTAGCACTATATGCACCAAAAGTTGATAAGAGTCATTGTACTAACTGACCATCAACCCAGTGCACATGTAGCGTAAAAAGGGGTCCATGACTTTTATTTGTTTTAATTAGTATCATATACTGACATTTGGTTACTATATTTGCATGATATTGCAGACCAGGTGTTGTCCACTGTAAGTGAGACTGTGACCTCTAGCAACATGGAGCTTGCTAAACCTGCTATGAGCAAGACAAGCAATGCATCATCTGATGAACAAACTCAAGTTGTGTTCTGTTGTCTTCGACCTCACAAAGGCATCGTCAGCAAGAGTCCTTTCAGCATGAGACCTTTCCAAATGGTGAGACCTGTTGTCTTTGAGATTTTGTACTGTAGTCTTGTTTCTGTATGCTGAGCTGTGTTGTGGAGTTCAGAAACATGATTTCACATTAGTTGATTTTTAAGGATGTGCATTATATTTTGATCTCTCATTATCAGATGAGATAGTTTTCCTTGAGTGTTTTAACAAGACACATTTTATATTCTTCACTATTTGTGTCTCCAGTGGTCCATCTGTTGAACCAAGTTTCTTCATTTACGGAGCATATTAGCAGCTTGGCTATTATGAAATTTGTTAACTTTACATAGTTGTTTTTATTCACAAGAAATAATTTCTAGTCTGAGCATGTCGGCCTTGTCATTGCCAGGTATGTCAGTATAACCTGGCATGTATGAATTTCCTAGCTGATGAAAGAAGGAATGAATAAAAGAATAATCAATCTGTCAAGCAATGATATCTCTGCACATATGATACTGTCACACATGCTCTGTTCTTTTCCCCTGTAGCCAGTGAAGAGTTTCCTAGTTCATGGTGTGTGATTATCAGTCATCATCTTGCTAATTTTCACTTATTTCCTATCAACCAATTAAAAAATGGCCACACAAAACAGTCTTCATGTGTGGAAAGACTATCAGACCAAACAATAAGTAGAACTAGTCCACTTGACATTATCACAAATAACAAATGAGCATTGTGGCTATAAAGTCTTCATTAGGGTTTAATGTAAACAAAAAAGAATTCACTGACTGAGTTAAAATTCACAAGTGGCAAATAGAATGTGTCCAGGATCTAGAAAGAATGGCACAGGAGGAGACCATCAGAGTGTGGAATAGACATATCGAGAGGGGCCATGTCTGAGGTGGAAATGTGGTACGTGGAAGATAAGGTGAACCAAATTGACTAGAAGGTAGATGGGAAAAGCATGATTGGTGTTTTGATAGTAGAAACACCAATTTGTGTGTGATACAGGAAATTTAAGATAAAGCTATGTTGGATGTTAAGATTTTTGGGTCAGAGGGAGTCCATAAGACAGATAAAGTGGTTCTCAAGAGATATGGGGACTCTTTCAATGGAGTGACTAAATTTGATTGCACTAACCTCCTTGTTGCAGACATCTCAGTGTCCCAGGGAATTAAAATAGATAGGCATCAGTTTGAGGGTATCCTTCTGCTGATCGAATGGCTGTTGTCTGAATATGTCAGCTAGACACTGCCTCATTTCCTTGATGAATTTCAACTCACATCTTTTGCAGATGATGGCAGATAATAGTAATAAACTACATTACATGTCAAGCAATAGAATCCTTCACATATGTGGTTAGTAAAATAAGGGAATGCCAGACTATCTGTTTTAACCACAGACCGACAGCTCCTGCATATAAGTCTGTGATAGGAGACAGTGCCTAAATAGAACTCAGAGGTTGGATGCAACATGCTCTTGAGTAGAATGTCCTTAATGTTATAATCATGTCTGTAGGCTGCTACAGTAATTCAGAAAAAAGTTGTGTTGGTGACGGAATCAGACTGTAGGATTGAGAGATAAATTAAGAGAATGTTTTTGGCACAGATAGCGTGAGAATGGCAGAAAAGGGAGAGGTTAGACCTTTTCCGGTAAAGTTTAGGGTTCAAGATGAAGGCCTTAGCATGATTAAAAGACAGGGTGTGGTGAAAGGTGGCAGTAAGGATGCGTTCAGGGTAGAGTCGATGCCGGATGAAATCCTACATTTTAGGGCCCTATGGTAGAAGTCATCGTTCTCCTGCAGAAGTGTAGAAGTTAGGAGAACAGAACTGAATTACTGCAAGAAAAAGGAAGGGAGAATGTATAAGGAAACAAGAATGTGAATCAGTGGACTTATAGTAAACTGAGGAGCTTAAGCTTCCAGAGCCTAAAGAGACTTTGAGATCCAGTAAGTTCACAGACAACAGTGAAATACAGGAAGAGATTTGGATGCCAGGGTGGAAGTTGGAGAAAAACTCAGTGAAGTCCTGCAGTTTAGCTAGAGGCAAATCCGTGACGCCAGTGCAAGCATTAATATATCTCCTGTAGGGCTCTAGGAGCCTACCAGTGTATAGATGACATATTGGGTATTGTAAATAGCCCACCAAGAGCAGGCAGAGCTCAGATTAAACTTAGTACCCGTAGGCATGCTGCTGATCTGGTCGAAGTTGTAGCTATTAAATTTGAAAGAGAAGAGTGAGCACTAGGGCAAGCTATATTATCATCATCATCATGTGCCCTGCCAACTGGTGTAGGCGCTCATGCGTCTCTACAGATCACGATCCCTGGTTGACTGGAACAGCCCTCTTGATGATATCCCTCCATGCCATCGTTTTAGCCTATCCAGCATCATCTCTCTCGGTCTGCCTTGGTCTCTTTCTTATTGTTGTATATAGAGATCTACTTTCATTAGCTTCTTTCAAGCAATCATTGTTAGTTACTCTGGCCATCCAAGGTATTCATAACATTCGTCTAAGAAACCACATCTCTGTTGCTTCCAAATTCTTCTAAATTTATTCAGTGACATTCCAAGATTCACTGCCATACAGCCGAACAGGTTCTATGTAACATTTTAGATCTGTAGACACAAAGTCTTTGATAGGTCAGATTAGGCCTATAAATATTACGAAGTCTTTGATAGGTCAATCATGACCTTGGAAATAACACCACCCCAGAGCACTTGCTTTTCTGTGCCATCTTTGAGGTCAGAATAGGAGCCATTATAATCAACTTCTTAAGGGAACATTAATAGTAGGGCTGTACCGAATATTCGCTTCGTATTCGCTTCGGGGCCAAATAGGGGACCTATTGATATTAGGTATTCAGCCGAATAGTTGCGGTCGGGCCAAATACAAATAGTAGTTACCTTACACCCGCTTTCGCATACACGTCCTTAATACTGACAACATGGAACGATTGGTTTTGTTGAAAGCTAATGCAGCTTTCATGCATTAACTAAGCTGTGAGTGACAATTTCCAAGTTTAGTTACTTGTTATAATACTTAGGATTCTTTCATTCCTAGTTATTAGTTACCACAGACAGATTAAAGAATGCAAAACATAAAATGTTTATAAATGTTTACTGTTCTGTACGAATACTAACTAGACATGGAAAGAATATAATCTCCGGCCACATTCACATATAAAAATCAAATGAACGGAAACATATAAGTACTTGGGTGCAAACTTCAACTGCTCCAACATGCTGAGAGAAGAAATACAATCTAGAATACAATCTCGAAATAAAGTATACTATGCCCTTCAACATCTGCTTAAGTCAAAGTGTCTGTCTCGCAACACCAAGATAAAAAAATATAAAACATTCATTAGAAAAATCGTTTTATACGGCTCTGAAACTTGAAGCAGAAATAAAAGAGAAAAGGCCTTATTACAGGTTTTCGAAAACAGTCTTAGGTCAAATCCTTTGACCCATCAAAGATGCTAACAGCGGGGAATGGAGAGTGAGAAGCAACAACGTAACACGTAATCTGTTTAAATCACCATTGATCACTGGCATCATGAAAGCTAACAGACTAAAATGGTTGGGGCATATTGAAAGAATGTCAGATGACAGAGAAGTAAAACTGTATACACCTGAGAGAGGAATGTACATAGACCACGAGGCAGACAAAAAGGAAGTTTGAGAGATAATGTCCAGCCAGACTTGCAAACAACTGGTGTCACAAATTGCGAAGAGAAGACCAGCCAGAGAGGTGAATGGAGTCCGGTAATATCTGCAGCAGTAAACCTCAAGGGCTCAGAATGCCAAAGAAGAAGAAGACTATTATGTGCTACTTTATGTGAAGTAAAAGGTCAGCGTACATTTGACATTATGAATGTGTGTGTGTGTTTTTTTAAAGATATATTTTATACACTATTCATATTCGTATTCGTATTCGGCCAAATAGTTGGTTCCGTTATTCGTATTCGGCCGAATAGTAAACATCACTATTCGGTACAGCCCTAATTAATAGAGATACTTTAGGGTGGCTACTGTCTTGGTTGGACTGAGAGTGCATTGGAATGCATGTGTAATGATGCTGATTATAATAACCTAAGTCTTTGATAGGTCAGGTTAGACCTATAGACATCAATAAGTATGATGTCATAACATGGTAGCAAACAAACAAAAATATCAATGGAAATTTTAAACTAAAATCATCATTACTTTTTTTTTCAGTCTGAAGACTTTTGATAAAGTTACTGTCACCCCAATCCATTATCTTGTTTCCACAGGTAATTTATTCAGCCCTGCTTAAGCTTGAACTAATATATTTGTACATGCCATATGATGTGGTTATTTCTTGGACATTTGCTCCTCTTTTCTCTGAATATAGAATTGCAATATTTTGAACAAATGGCCAAGTCAAGAAAGATTTTTGTTTTTAAATGCATTGGAAAAATATTTTCCCTTTTCTCTGTTTTAGACAGTTTTTAATTGATTTTGTTTTGGGTCCAATTAGTCTTTTTCCATACATGATGTATAAAAGACAAAAAATAATATGGAGAAATAAAGAAAACCATTTAAAGACTAACATTTGCTGTTTCAAACCAAAACAAAACAGTGAATATTAGTCTATCCTGAAATATTCTTACAGTTCATGAGGCTGGGAAAGTCACAGGGCTATGTGAAATCTCTAGGCAAGTGTACTGACCACTGCAATGAAATGACCATATTTGGTGTTGAACAGTATGGTTTCTCTATGTTGTCAGGTGGTACCAGGAGCAAGCAGTGCCTGTGTGGGTGTCACCTTCAACCCCCAGTTGATTTCTGAAGTTGCTGAAGAAATGAACTTTGAGGGGTATGCTGAAGGTTTTCTGAGTCTTGATAATGAGGTCTGTATATTAATTAGTTTATCTGTAGCAATATTTGGACTATACTTTTGTGCTGTCATATTCAGAAAGTAACAGCTTTAACTCAGCACCAAACAAATGTTGCCCTAGCTCATTCTAAATTAACCAGTTGTTACAAAACAGCTGGGTGAACAATGAGGAATGTAGGAAACAAATATTGAATTAAGGAGTAAGAAGAAAACATGTGACGAGTTGCCGGAATTGAATGGGTTCAAGTGACATTGTTATCAGTTTCTGCATACTATAAGTGACCTCCTCACATGTAAAATCTTTGTCACTGTCTTGTTGGTTTAGAACATGGCTGTTCAGCTAAGTTTACTAAGGGGCCACAATTTAGAAAATCAGGACTGTCCCAGGCCAGAAGTCCGAGCCCCAGCTAAGAAAGATCATTAGGACAATACAATGATCCGCGGGCCATTTGTTAGGCCTCCGAAAGCCAGATTTGGCCAAGGGCTGCCAGTTGAATAGCCCTGGTTTAGAGCATGTTTGCTGAGTGTAAAAACATTTCCTCAGATAAATCATTCATCCTTCAACATGTTTATTTAAATTATCCAGTTCCAGCTTAAAGATAACAGGTTTAAACTGTAATTTTTTTTTAAAAGAAACCCTTGCAACACATAGTGAAATTTTTGACTGCGTAAAGTCACATGATATTATTTTTTGTTGCTTTATGAACTGCTTATTAACTTCATGGAGCAAGAATCGACTATATAAACATTTAAAAAAAATAAATAAATAAACACTAGGAAAATGCATATTTTTATTATTAATGTTTAAAAGCTAATAAAGTCAGAAAACATCTGCATCAGTGTAATGTCATTTTCATTGAAATACGAAGGAAAGCATCTTAACTCTTCCAGTCCTAGGGGGTTTGGCATCAGAGGCCCAAAGGGGGGTACAGAGAAAGGTAAAATCGGCATATCTTGTGTTCACTGGGCTTCTAGGTAGGAACCTATAAACATATGATGCGTTCCTTAGAACAGAAGGAGTTATTTAATGTTAGTATCAGTTAGTGAATAAATCCAAAGTATGAATTATCATTACTCTCATCATAGAAATATTGATGTTTTGGATAATACTTTGTGCAGGATGAAGACAGTCAGTATGTCAAGAGGTCTGAGGCTTATTTTGCTGAGCAGCTCACACTGAATATGAGTGCACATTTGAGACCTCCAGTGTAAGTTTTGTATGAATATCTGTGCATATCTACATGTTTATGTGAGTGTATGTATGTTGGTTAAGAAAATATATCACAGCACTTGCAGCATTTCCATACACTCTCTGTTCCCCATCTTCAGTAGCTAGTGCTAGTACTAATGGTGCCAGTTTAAATCTGATTTTGTGTTTGCCTTGCCTGTCATTGAGTGCCTACCCAATCGTCAGGCTACTCTTATTCTTTATAGAACATTCTAGTTAGTTGTAATGTGTTAAGTTGCAAAATTATGTTCAGGACACTTCCCAGTCTTGCTCTGTTATATTTCTAGCATTCTCCTTGCAGCATTAATTAAAAATTACTTATGTGTTAGCAGGCTCATTAAACAGATTTAAATCATTCACTTTTTAAACCATCACTTAGATTTTGTGAAACTGGAGAGTGTTTATAAGCTTCTGCAAAACATTTATTACAGGTACCAGTTTTAATTGCACTCTTACTAAGATTGGTTTGGGTTTGAACCTAGCCATCGCCTAATTCTTTTCAAGAAGATTTAGAAATAAAATAATTAAAAATTAAAAAAAACCAAGATGTACAATAGGTCAACTTCACATCAAAATCACAAAGTTGAAAGTGTTTTTCCTTCTAGAAAACGTTCATCAGCATATGATGCAGATCAAGTGGTACAATTGCAAACAAGAATGCATGCAAGTTGAGATCTCTCCCTACAATGAATTATGAGTTATGATTCGGGTTATCTTCCCAGCACTCTGGACACATCCATAGGTGCTCAGATTTCCCCTATGACATGGTCATCAGTGTCCGGCCGTTGATAGTATCAGTCCTATGTTGGTTGACAAGACTTCTTGTGCATCCTGTGTGCTTCTCATGCCTGGCTGTGCTGATCTTTACTCCTAATTCTTGCACTCTTAGCAAAGGTGCTAATTTGCTGCTCCCAAAAATCCTCGAAACATCCTACCACTCTAATCACATTAACAATTTCGGCATGATTCATAAGCCAGCCCTCTGTAACTAAAGCAGAGCTGGCTAATTTAATGCTAATTGATCTAAAAATAAAGGGCTGGTACCACATGCCCAAGACACCTCATGGCATGCACAGGGTCTGTCACTTAACTGTGTAATTATTCGCCAATCTGCTCCCTATTATATAAATGTTTTAACATGAGTTTAAGATTTGGGAACCAGTAGTTTCAAACAACTAGATTTGAGCTTTAATCTGGCAGTTTATGTTTTGTAAAACACAACAGTATCTGTCGCAAACAAATTGTAACTCTGGGTAAGAATGAGTTAAAGTTTTGGCTGTCTGTAAAGAATTAAATAACATTTTGGATGATCGTTATTTGCCTTGTCACATGATGTAGAACTTCATGTCTCTCTGAAGATCTCAGCACTTGGTGTTCCTTGATCTGCTTTAAATATGAAATCCCTTTATGCCACCATCTTGACATTCTCCATTGCCACTCTTCTTTTCACATTTAGGATGAAGTTAAGGTCAACCACACACACACAAACACACACACAAACAAACACACACACACACACACAAAACAGTGGACAAGAAAATGACTGCTTATGATTGGAGTACATAAACAGTGAACATGCTTGGATCATATATGGATTACTGATCAGTGATTGGCGAGTTGTTTCCTACATAATGAGTTAAATGTTTCATTTGTAACTATACAAGAAACATCAGTTTATCTCTCTCTCTCTCTCTCACACACACACACACACACATGCACACAGTTAGCACAGAGAAAATCCATACAGTTTGACAGTGCCATATTTGAAAACTCAGAGAGAAACACCTGCAGCAGACTTTTGCAGTGCCCCATGTCCTGTAAGAGCAGCAGCATCAGGGCAGGCAGAGATCTCTGGAACAGGCCCTTCTGTTTGCTTCATATAAAGTACTTTTCATTGTCTGTGATATTTTTTAGGTCCATTTTTTGCATGGTAGACTTCTGGCTCTGGTTCTGTGCTGACTCTCCTCCTGATATCATTGTTCCTTTATTGCATCTTTGTTGGATTTCTTTATTAATTCTTCTGTGTTAAAAAAAAAATGCTTCCCAGATATGTTAAATCTTTCTCTTGCTTTAAATGGTGTTCATCAGTTTTGATATTGGTGGTGCTTCCTTTTCTGAAGAATGTCATCACTTCTGTTTTGTCTACGTTTGTCTTCATATCAGAGTTGTCACATTCTGCTAATACGTTCTTATAGTTGTACAGATTTTGGTGCCTGGTCATCTGTGAAAAGCAATGGACATCCTGTGAAATTCACACCACATAGACTATATACTGTAAAAGTCAAAAAATGGAAGCTCTGTGTTATGTAAAAATCAAAGCATCTGGTGGGATACACAATTGATTTTTAACATACACATTCCTGGGATGCCTAACTGGAGCCTTCTTCTTGTTTTGTCCAACTGCTTCCGCTGTAAAGTGTTACAGAGAGGAGTTAGATGTAGTTTCCTGTCTTTTGCTAGTTGCATATCTCGTAGTACCAGAAAACCCACACCCTGCTAGTCTCACACACAGAAAGCCCACATCCTGCTAGATTCACAACATAATTTCAAGCTCCAAATCTGTAAAAGCTAATAAGAAGGCTGATTTGGTTTGTTACAGATTAACCATTGAGGACATGGAAGAGGATGTGATCAAATTCACAGCAGCTGTCAGTGACATTTTTAGAGATAATGAGGTGGGTACAGATATATTTCTAATATCTTCTCTCTTTCTCTCTCTCTCTCTCTCTCTCTCTCTCTCTCTCTCTCTCTCTCTCTCTCTCTCTCTCTCTCTCCTTTTAAATCTTTTAGCTCTGAAATGCTGCTAATCTGGCATAATTGCCTTGTGAAGTGTTAGGAGGACCAAGTATGATTCTGTTTATAAATATAGTGGGGCTAAAAAAAAAAGTGGGGGGGGGGGGGGGGGGGGGGGGGGGGGGGGGGGGGGGGGGGGGGGGGTGGGGGGGGGGGGGGGGGGGGGAGGGGAGGGGGGAATTGTTAGGAAAAAATTTCAAATCTGCCACACATAATAAAGGAGAAGTCAATCCACCATGCAGATAAAAGGGGCACATATGACATTGCTGAAATTGCCGAAGTCCTGTATCAATCTAAAATAGTAGTATTTGAAGAGCTACAGTACAAAGTCACCCATAATTTCTCTGTTCCTGTGCCAATGAAAATCACACAAAAGGCCTTTCAGTGTCTTACTTGAAAATTAAAGAACAAACCTGGAAAAATGCAGAAGCATGCTTACAGTAAATGCATAAGGCAGCTGCCAGAGAAGTCCACACTAACAGTTAGCCAAAAAAACTGCAGTTCATCATTGATGGAAGTAGTCAGTCAAAACAAGCTGGTGGTGGCTAGTGCATGTATTACATTGCACACATTGTCAGTCCGGCCGCAAATTGGCCACCCACTTTTTTTTCTGAATATCATAACACAACCCACTCTGACATGGAAGACACAGGTAGAGATAAGTCGAACAAGAGCAAGGCAAGGAATGGCAATCATGAAAAAGCTTGCTGGTACAACATGGGACTTTGATGAAAAAGTTTTTAAGAAGCTACACACTAGACGAGTAAGGCAAGTCCTTGATTATCACAGCGTAGGCAACAATAGGTAAGTCAGAATGAAACAGAAAGAAGGAAAATTACATTAAACTACATAGGAAAAAAAATACTTAAGTAACATTAGACTCATGCATATACAAATAGATCAGAAAAAAGCTCAGCAGAAAATTTAGGTTGTGTAATTGTCCTAAATCTACAAAATGAATCAAAGAAAACACAGTTGTTTGCAACAAGAAAATTCACAAGTATTTTCATAGCAGATGCAGAGACCTTGAGAACTGAAGCAGAAATGCTTCTGTCAGAGCAAAATAGAGAGAAACACATAGCTGTCTTTACAGATGCGAAGTCAGTTGTTACAACGCTGAAAGCAAAAGAACATTACAGAACTAGCAGACCTTAGATTTGGACTCCATGGACTGAATCAGAAATAAAAACAGTCTTAGTACATTGGATTTTCTACCCATTGCAGAATATCTGGAAATAAAGAGGCTGACAGATTGGCAAAGGAAGGTGGAAGACTACCCCAGTTTCATATAGACAAAACATACAATGAGGTCAAGAGGTTTATAAACAGTGTCTATAATATAAAATGGGACTCTGAACATCCAGGCCACAAGAAGGATGATGCATACTTGACCAAGGAGAACAAGTAGTGATCTTTAGACTCTGCACAGGGCATAATACACTAAAGCATCACTTCTTCAATAAGGTGGAGATAGGAGACACTGATGATTGTAACTGTGGAAATGGTAAAATGCCAGATAAAATGATGGCTACACTTGAGTGTCCACCATTTGCAGAACAGAGAAAATTATTCTGATTGACACCCACTCCTTTTGAGGACAAACTCTGTAGAGATGTCAGCAACCTCAAGTTGACTGCTGTTTTTGTTAAAATATATTCACATTGACATCTGCATGTGGAAGAAACAGAAGATTATCAAGGATTCACAGAGTTTGTAGTCCCTAGAGATGCAGACTTCATAAACCATGAGATGGGAAGAAAATGAAACAGACTGTTTGTGAATTGCCATACTGGATGCCCCTAGGCATCTATATAGAAAGTGTCATATGAAACTATAGTAGACACTGAAGTCCACTGCATAAAATAACATGCAAAGGAAGCAAAGTACTCATTTTTTGTAGGTGATTAAAATCCTTGGTCTGCAGACTGCCTGCTTCAGGCTTCTAAAGACATAATCCACGATGAATGAGATATCCAGTATACGGAAGTGAGGTTAAACAGTCATGAGCATGACGTGACGATTCCTTGGTTGAGCCCAATACCAGAGCACCATGTATTGGCTCTGCATTTATGGAAGCCTCCTTGGATGGCAGGGAATGCTCATGTTCTGCTCCTGCCTTCTCTTTAAAACTGACCAGCATTATGTAGCTTCTCTGGACTGGCCTTATGTGGGGCATCAACTGTAACCTGGAAAACAAAGATGACCAAACAACAGTGCAGTGTCTCACTAAACTAACTGGGAAGGCTAACACGGTTTTTGCTAAAAGGATTAAATACTGTGGCCATGCTGTGAATGGGCAGAATGCAGTTACATCTTCAGATGAAAGCAGAAGAAGAAGAAGACAACACTTAACTGTTATGCGTGCAAAATAAAGACGTTCCACTTGAAATGCAGAGCTCATAGTATTGCAACATGCACTCAGCTAAGTAGCTAGGCAACTAAACCATAGACTCCAGTATTTATGTATTAAAAAATACATTAGCAGACCAGGCCCAGAAGCCAACAGTGCTCCAAGGTCTTAACAGACAGCCCTCCTTTCCACCATATTGGACTGGATGTCCCTGTATTGTCCAGAAAATACTACCATTCCTAGAGAAAATATTTTTACGAGAATGCTGTCTTCTACTTATTCCATGAAGAATATTGTCTCAGCAGTGTTGTCCCCAGCCGGATTTCCAGGAAAATAGTGTTTCAACAGGGCTGTCCTAAACTTTATTCTGGTGAAAATGTAATCATGTGGTTACTGTCCATAACTGAATTTGAAACGTAGACTAAACACCTACTATTCTAATTACTCTATCCCCATGAAAAAACATGAAAATATCTTTTAAATATCTTTTTCTTAGATTCTGAAGGAGTTCCTGCATACCTACTCAATCAAACTGAAAAATGATACACAGGCTTCAATAACGTTCAAGATGAACGTCAAAGAACCATTTCTTCTGGTAGACATAGATCCTTCCAGCACACAGGGGGCATCAAATCAATCCACAGAGACTGAATTTTGTACTCTGAAACCTGGACATTACCTTGTGGTAAGAAACTATTAATTGATTGATTTAATTTGTTTCAAGAACCGACATCACAGCACTGTGAGCAAGAAACTATTATTCATCAACACCTAATGAATTGTAATTGGAAGAATTGAAATTAGAATGCTCTGAGAGAGATAGGACAGTCTGAGGATTTTTGGAGCAGTATGTCCATATCACTGCTAAGAATATGAGAATTTTGAGTAAAGATTAGCACAGCCAAGCATGAGAGGCACATCGAACATACAAGAAGTGTTGTTAAAAAGCAATAAGATGCCACTGTTAACCACAGGATGCTGATGTATATGTTAAATGGGGAATTTGAGAACCTATGGATGTGTCCAGAATGCTGTAAAGATAACCAAACTCATAGCTTATAACAGGTCATTAAAGAGGAACAAGTGTGACTCTAGGCACACTATGGCTGGATACACACTGCAAAACTGCAGACACACTCAAACAACTCTAGGCACACTATGGCTGGATACACACTGCAAAACTGCAGACACACTCAAACAACTCTAGGCACACTATGGTTGGATACACACTGCAAAACTGCAGACACACTCAAACAACTCTAGGCACACTCTGATTAAATAGACTGCAAACAATTAATTGTTAATTTAGGAACCAAGGTATTCAGAGTCAATAACATTTTTAAATTTGTCATCATAGATCGTAATTGTTAGTTGATATTAATTTGTATGTGCGTGTGTATGGGAACTACTGTTTTCTTTAAAGTTCAGGAACAGATTTTGGTCTTTGCAGTGACCTTTGAACTAACTTTAAAATACTAAGTGGTTTGACCATTTCCTTTGCATCCTGAAAATGCATGTGTATATTTGTGTGTGTGTGGAAAGTTGGGAGGGGGGGGGGGGGGGGCTGGTGGTTGGATGCTGTCATTCAGCTCACGAGTACCTGTGTTTTATGGAGGGGGGGGGGTCTCTGATGAAGCTATGGTGTTTCATGTCGGTGGACAGCCATTCTGTAGAAAGAGCCTGAGCTATATTTCATAAACTGTGGTGCAGTTAAGTTGATCCTCTTGTGTCACATTAATTAGAAAGTGTTAATTTCAAGTCCAGTTGAGGACAATTTTTTTTTTAAAAGAAACCTGATGATGTTATCCTGCCTTCTTATATCTGGGTATAGGATTAAATACCAAGCCTACTCAGATAAGGATAACAGACAGCAGGTTCCATGTGCACATGACAAAATTTTGGCAACTGAAAACAATACAGAAGACTGACAAATATCACACCCTGGTGACATTTGAAAGCAGTAAAACATGTCCCACAGAAAGATTCTAGAATGCATGGATTCTGGTATATACATTTTGTAGTCCTTACAGATGCTATGAAGTTTATTTTCTGATCAGAAGGCGGAGATTGGGTATTTTACAGGACATTGAAAACAGTCCATTTACAGACTCAGTCAGTACAGTGTCAAGTAATGGCAGAGCCAAACAGTGAGATACTAGTTTGGTACTTACTCAGTATGTTAAATCAGACAGTATCAGAACCAAACTGTCAGTTAGTCAATAAATGCAGTAAATCAAACAATATCAGGTTGACCTGTAAGCTGACCACGATGATTGAAAAACTATCTTAGCAGTCTGTAGATTTAGTTGTATCATTGTCCAGTAGTAACTATGATATTAATGCTGGGCGTCTTCCTTGAACATTTTCCCATTGTAAATTTTGACTTTCTGCTTCTAGAGCAAGGTAGCATTTCGTGTATCAGCAGAACTGTTTCCTGATATTTCAACAAAGTCTGGAGAATGTGTCAGTGATATCCGCCAGAAGCTTCATTATGATGATGTACTTACTATATTGTTTGTGAACGGATCTGTACAGGTGAGAGAAATTAACGTTTGTCTTGGTGAGAATTTGTTTACAGGCAAATTATATTGTTTAATAGTTTCCTTGATGAGCTTGATGACTTAATTGTAGAAAGACATACATTTTGATATGGCCCTTAAGTCTTTGGCTCTGCTGAAAAAAAAAAAAAAAAAAGTCAGTAATCGGTAAATTGAGAATTGCCAAAGGAAATGCTAAAAAAAAAAAAAAATTTCACAGCCTGACCCCCCTCCCCCCCAATCCATCCCCCACAGTCCCCCTCCCCCTCCCCCCCCCCCACCCCAAATGCTAACAATGATGTTCATAAATCAAAAGTTTCAATTACTATACAAGAAGGGAAATTTGAACAACGAATCAACATCATGGCACATGGGTAGTAAGTAAAGTAAAGATCCCTTTTCATGCCTTTTCGGCGCATCGGGCATATGGGCAGAGCGTCCCATATTTTTACAGACCATCAGCACTCTGTGGGTAATGTGGTCAGCATTACGCTGGCTGTCTTTACTTTCCCAGGGGTAACCCATAAGTGCTCTGTTCTTCTTCTAACTCAAGTCTGAGTCCGAAGAAGGATCCAGAAATACTTTGGGTAGATAAGTGAAGTAATTAATGAAACACACAAATTCAGCAGAGAATTAACTGACCTATCTTTGACCATTAAAACCATTTGTGCAGTGACTTGATCTCCTAATTTGGTTGCTGGAATGGCATTTGATTAATGGGAAATTATAATGTTATAATTTTGATTAAAAAAGCCATTTGTTCACAAGGCAACTTCCTGTAAATACTACTTATTTTAGCAATTATGGTCAATTCCAGTGCTCCTAAATGTTTGCACAGTTACATACCTTTTTATTGCTAGTCTATACTTCTCATGAACAAGTTACTATAGCTAGTTGGTCCAATATCTTTTTTGGGGAATTGGACCCAACTAGAGGCGTCAGGTTTGTGGCTTCTCGGAACGACAGGGTTAAAGAAGGAAACATAGCTCATACTGAACTGCTTTACTAGCAGTAAAAAAACCACAACAACAAAGGACTCTTTTTGTGCCATTAGTGTGTTAGGCTAAAGGTTCTAGACTCCATGTTTTTGTAGACCAATCAATACTCGATGGTTGATGTGGTCATCATTGCACTGGCTGCCTTTACTTCCCAGCATATTGCCTGGTACCTGTTTTAGACTGTATTTACCTTGGAACTCTAGGTGAATTATTCAAATATTTTTGTCTGCAGATTCAAACACAGGAATTCTATCAACACGCTTTACTTACACGCAACAATGTCAATGAAAGTTATTGTATTTATTGTTTAAAGTGTCTATTATTTACACATTCTGTTCGTAGCTTTGTTCACTTGTTTAGAAATGGTCTCAGTATAATGTCAGATATACTATACATGGCATTCCCAACTTTGTAGTTGAAAATAATAGGTTCTTTTTGAGGCAGGTCTAGACATTCAGATATGTAAGAAGTGGACTATCATCACAGACATCATGAATGTGCTAAGGGGTGCAGAAACATCAAATTTTTAAATTTTAATGAACTGTTCTAGAATTCAGTATCCACAGAAGTCATAACAACATTGTCAGGTAAATTACCAGGAGACATCTGACATTTTTTCATTCTTCTGCCATATTTCTTCCACCTGTAGAAAATTCCCCTGTATGCCTGTCTTACAATTCCATACATGGAGGTGTCAGAAGAGTACCTAGACTTTGGAGTCTGCTTTGTGGGGCAGACCCGGGAACTGAATTTGAATATAGCTAACACAAGTACTTCTCATTGTTGTTGGAAAATATGCCTTGGTGAGTGCTGATACTTCTCTTTGCTGTTTACTTCATTGTACCTTTCACTGATTGTATTATTATTGTGTGTGTGTGTGTTCCAGTGATGAAAATACATGTTCTATTAGAATATAAGTAATTTAAATATGATTTAACAATAAAAATAGTCCTACAGCAGCCTTTACTGTTGGGATGTGTTATGCCTTCTCATGCTTTAGGCCATAGATGTGGAGACCAATTCCCATTTTCCCCAATTCCTATATATTCAAAAAATTGTCTGGTCCACGTGTCTTCAGGCTGACTCAAGCCTAGAACAGTATTGGTCAGATAGTTCTCTCTTTTCTGGGGAATAAACTTGGACTACTGTCCCAGCACACAAGTGTACTAACCACTTTGCTGCTGTGACTCTTGTAGCATACCACATCAAAAAACATTTCTGATTAACCAACAGCTGGATATTTCAAAATCTCTCCCTGTTAAAACAATGGAGGAATAAATAACACACCTTTTCAAGTATCTTTATTTCATTGTTCCCATTTACTTTACCATGAGATATTTTACTGATTTAACTCTTTCAGGCCTATGAATTTTGACAGACTTGGCCCACATTAATTTCCCTTTACAAAAATGGCAGAGTGGTGGGTGAACAAGAAAGGCTGTAGAGATTGTAATATACTTCTAATCCCTATAACAGTACATATTTTTTAAACAAGAAATAAGTGTACATTCTGATGATAAGGGTTTGTTTAATTTTGTTATAGTTAGTGGAAAAAAAAGAATTCAGCAGGTGTTAATTTCACAAGGACAACATTTCACCAAAAAATTCTTCACTTACCATGGTTTTGCAGCCACAAGAATAGTAAATATCCAAATTTGAGAACAAAACTTCAAAGTTTGTTCAATTTCCTAACATATTCTAAAGTTATGATAACTTTCTGGGTTAGTTTATCACTCAGGGGCTCTTAGTTCCCACCGAGTGCTAAGCAAAATTTCAGAGAAAAAATGGCAGAAAAATGAGCCATAACACACACACACACACTGTTTACTATTCACTTTGTGTCTAAAACTAGTTCATGGGTTTAGTCTTTAGCAACTGAATAATTATAGTCATTTTCCAGTTCTGGCATTGTTATAAAGACAGCCACTTTTGTATAATACGGTTGGTAATGCTCCTGTTATCTTGTTCTTTTTGCTCATTGCCAGCAACTTCGTCTCTGACATTTGTTATCTCCCTTACTTGTACAAAGCTGTGCCTCCCCCCGCCTCTTTTTATGGTTACAGAGTGTACATGTCTAAATTATATTTTTCTGCTCAAGAGGGTTTAAGAGGGATATTTAATGATTAAAGTTGAAATGTCATTGGAGAAGT